GAGGAGGAGGAGGAGGAGGAGGAGGAGAACGTCACTGAATTCATCGCTGTCGTCGTCGTCGTCGTCGTCGTCGTCGTCGTTGTTGCCGCGTTTGTCGTCTTCGCGGACTCGCTCTCTCACCCAGATGCGCATAGACAGTTCCTCAGCGAGACGGGACAGGAATATGATATGCACATCTGGGGACCCCCGCGTCGAGTAGTTGAGTCGTTTTCAGAGTGGAGACGACTCCTCTCTCCCCTCGCCGTTTCCTTCCGTTCCGGCCTGCTGCCGGGAGCAGGGGCGGTAGAGTGGCTTGGAGGAGATGGTACGCAGGCCTGTTTAGACAAGGTGCGATGGCAATCTGGCCATCGCCATCTCGACCCCGTTGCGCCCTGTGATCTGCCCATGCGGGGCTTCGCATCCCACGCGCAGTGTCAAGAAGGTCCCCTTTGATGGGTGCCACCCTGTCCCAGCTTTGTTCGTGATTTGCGACTCTTTCCCTTTGGGGCTCCCCTAACCGTCCCCTTCACCACCATTGCGACAGCCACAATCTCCTTCTTCTGCCCACCCCGTATTCTTCTCTACCGGAGATCCGATGCTCTGTTCTTCCATGTGGGGCTCTTGGACGCCTCGACCCGTTCCCCGGGGCTGGCTTTCATCCCGAGTCTTTTTTGGACGCTCCTGGGGCCCGACGAGGGCCCCCAGAGGCTGAACACGGTGACCATTGTTGTTCCCCAATTTCGGCTTGCCTAAGGGGTTCGTACTTGGCTAGAGACTTTCCCCAGGTTCCTCGGGTTCCCCGGGTTCCTCGGGTTCATCGGGTTCCTCGGGTTCCTCTGGTTTCTCTGCGTTCCTCGGGTTCCTCGGTTTCCTTGGGTTCGCAGGGTTCCTTGGGTTTCTCTGCGAAGCAATGCCAAGCAATGCCAAGCAATGCCAAGCGATGCCAAGCGATGCCAAGCGATGCGCTCAGCGATGCGCCCATTCAATCGGCTGTCCCCTCATTGGGATCGCGCCGGGCTCGTAATGTTTTCGATCAACACGTTGGAGGTCTGGGCTCCCGTGCCCCCCCCTCCCCCCCCCTTGGCTGGCAGGAGGGCGGTAGGCAAGGGCGCTGGCGGGCCGCCTGGCTGGCCCGTGGAGTGGACCTGCGCCGCCATCGTGCTGATGGCGCTGGCCGCCGTGTGGCAGGTCTGGGGGGAGGGCCGTGAAGAAAGAGGATCTTGGTGGAACAGTTTTTTTTTGTTAAAAAAAAGAAAATCAAAAACAAAAAAAACTGTTTCGGCCTCCCTGGGCCCCGGGCCCTGGGACTGGCAAGAAGCGGCTCCTGATGGCACCAGGGTTTCTTTGGTTCATGTCCAGGGGAGGGCCTCGGCGGTTTCCAGAGCTGGCCCAAGAGGGCCTTCGGAGGAAGTCAAGGCGACCCGAGAGGGCTCCTGGAAAGCCCCCCAAACATGCCCAATACGGCCTTCAGATCTGTGCGTCGTGAAAAATCGCGGCGACTGTCTTCTCGTCGCAAGTCTATGCCACGGGAGTGGCCGAGATCCGTGATACAGGCGGCCCGGATTAGTAGGTCGACCCTGCCAGGTCAAGGGTACCCTCGTGTCCTGTGTCTTGCGACCCGTGCCTCCAGCATTTCTGTGGCAACGTGGCCCTCGGAAGGGTCTTGTGTCCTCTCGCGTGTCCTCTCCAATCAAGTCCGACTGTAGGTCCACGTCGCGAACAGGTTGCGGCGTCGGAGGAGAGGGCGGCCACGACGTGGCAGCTCCCGGTGCGGCAGGGCCGACGGCGTGCCCGTGAAAAAAGCCTCGGAGGTCTGGGGGTGCCTCGTGAGCGTCCCGCCTCCTCCTTCCTCCTCCTCCTCCTCCTTTCCCTCGTCCTCGTCCTCGTCCTCGTCCTCCTCCTCCTCCTCCTCCTCCTCCTCCTCCTTTTGGGGCCCTCTTGGGGCGCTCTTGGGGCTCTCTTGGGCCGTCCCGGCGCAAGAGCCGTGCGGCCTCCCATGGGGGGTGTCTTTGGGGAGGCCCTTTCGCGGGGCGGGGTGCGGACTTCGACTCGCGTCTTGCCTTGCCGCTTCTCGGCGGCGCGCCGAGGGGGGAGGTGGGTGCGTCGGCGGATCTTAGTGTAATGAGCCCCGCTGAGCTGAAATCAACTTACCCAGTCGTAGATTGCCCTAGCGTAGCGTGAGTGGCCGAATTCAGGTGATTCAAAAGCTGATGCCACACCGCCGACCCCTTGATCCTACTTGCGCCAGGTCTTCCAATGCGAATTTGGAAGGCGAGAACGCGAGAATCTGGTTCTATAGGGAGACCAATGCCACTTGTTTTGGAGACACGCTGCATCGCGAGGCAACTGCGCGGACACGAATCCGACGGCCGCGTCGTCCACAAGGCGGCCAGCGCGGTGCATTCTCGTGAAGCGCGAGGCGAGGCTCACGTCAGCGGGGCCGTAGACCCGCGTGCTCGACGCGCGGGCGGCAGCAATCGAGCGCGCGCCGAAGAGTGGTGTGCGTCGAGCTACTGGGAGGTCCGGGTGCATCCAGCGAAGGAGAGCAGGAGAAGGGAGTAAGAGAATGACGACGCGAAGGAGCACGAGCACGAAACGGCTGGACGGTGAACAGGACCCAGGCGCGCGAAGACGCGCGAGGCGAAGGGAAGAAAACAGTTCGGAGGACGACGACCATAGTAATCGTCGAGGCCCCTGCGGACCTCAACCACGGGAGCTTCTCGGAGGCCTCTTGGCGCGCCCGGGTCGTTGGGGCCAGAGGCGTCGTGAAGGTCGCCCAGGGCCTCTTTGGATGCTTGGCGGGGAGCGCGCCCGGAGGTGCGCAGAGCATAGGCATTTTTGAGGCTCCTGGGAGCATTCTGGAGGCATCTTGGAGGTATCTCGGCGCCTTTGGGGGGCTTCTTGAGGGTCTGCTTGGAACGCCTTGGGTCGTCTTCGGACTCTTGAACTGCCTGGCACCTCCGGGGGCCGTTTTGGGGGCCCCTCTGAGACCGTCTTGGGGTCCCTGGACCACTGTGGGGCCCTCTTGGGCCGTCACTCGGGGCCTCCAGGAGGCCATCTTGGCCATCCTGGGGCATCTTGAGGCCATGTCGAAGCCGTTTGAGGCCGTCTTAGGCCGACCGTGGACATTTCTGACCGAAATTCGTCCCCTGGCGGGATCGAGTGGGGCTGGCCGACCGAGCTGCTGGGGGAGGGGTTTAGGGAGGTGCAAGGATCCCATACGCCAGAGAGCCACCAAGGGAGCGACGAATGTCAGGCTGGGTTCGTTTTAGCTGGACACTCGTGCGTACTGACAGCTGCTGGGCTATTCGAAAGAGCGGTTTCCCCAGACCCTCGACGTCGTGTTTTAATCGCAACGTCGACCCCTAGAGTTCTGGACCCCTTCCCTGGGACTTGTTTTTCATACTGAATCGTTTTATGGCGTTCCCGTAGGAGCCCCTGGAGGCCAGTTGGGAACCCCCAAAAACCAGGAGTGGGCGAGGGGTCCATGGAACATTTATTTCATCGCTTCGCTCATTCCGCCGGCCCGTATTGGTGCACGGCTGTCGAGTGCCCGTGTGATCGTTGTCAATGGGGTGCTGCTGGGTCGATTTTTTGTTTATGGATGGCTGGCTATGGGTGATTTCGCAGGCGGGAACCATTCTTTGCCCGCCTGAACCTTCTGTTTCGGAAGGTGGCGGCTCGTGAATACGATCGCAGGGAAAAAGACAACATTCTGCAGTTTCCTTTTTGCATTCTTCGGGCCCCTTGTCGCTTGTTGGGGCCTCTTAGGAGCCTCTTGGGGCGTCCAGGAGGCCTCATATCATGATCGTAATGTTTGCATGCGTTACCGTTGTCACCAACACCGCAGTCACCGTCAATCTCAAGATGAATTCTGGTGATCCTCATATACATTCCCTCGATCTGTCGTGGATCTGGAAAACGATATGCGAGTCTGGTCGAGGGCACTGCAGCATTACCAACAAGTGTTAGGAGCTGGCCCCGCGAGAATGCTGTGGATTGTGGATGCTGTGTCATCGACAAATGCGCGGATTCAGTAAGGAGATTCCAGCCTTCGTGGCCTCATTTGTCGTTGCGGCAAGGTATTCGGAGTAAATCGCGCACCGTTTTATTGACCATACTCGAGCTGTTTGACCTCTCGTGGTGAGCTTGAGAATTGGCACCCTTGGCAGCATTGCGTACCAGAGTGAGTGACTGACTGACGGTTAGACATGTCTCGAAATGTTGGCCAGGATTGAGCTTGAGAAATGCCTGGGGCCGATTTCCTTGAGAAACGGACTTGTTCGTGAGGAGAGACAGCTAGTGCTGTGCAGGTGAGGCACCGGGCCTTCGGCACCGCTGAGTGCACGTCGCTCAGCGGGATGTGCACGCCCTCTCAGGACACCAGACTTTCCGCCTCTCCCATGCATGTGCAGCCGATCAGAATGCATGGCAAGTCAGGCGCACGTCGCAGGCAAGCATGGCTGTACCTTCTCGCTCTCCACTGCTTTGCGTCTTTGCATTCGATCACCCATGACCGCGAACGTGCAATCAGAGCGTGTTGGTGTGAGATGTCGATGTGCACACGTGTTGAATGGGCCAGTGTCAGCAGGCCCAACCCTTGGCGAAACTGCTCACGCGTTGGCGGGGGCAGCAGGCCCAGACCCATGCAGCACCTTCCAGTGCGTGTGGTTCTGGCGGGGTCCTGACGTGTTCCACGCTCTTGGCCGTCGGTTGGCGCCTCGGCGAGGCCTGCCTGCAACCTCTGGCATCGCTTTGGGCTCTTGAATGTGTTTCCTGCCCATCTCGTTCTAGGTGGCGGCCCCTGGTCCCGGGCCTTCCGCCTCGCAGGCGCGCGCCTCCCCCCAGGCGGATGCCTTGCCCCGCCGGCGCCCGCCGAGAATCTGCCCAGCCTCTCTGGAAGAAGACGTGCGCACGCGTCTACGGGCGTGTGAGCAATCGGAGTGCTGCCCGCCCGTCTGTGCGCAGGCGCACGCGCGCGTGTCTGTACCTCGCATGGTGGATGGTCCTGCCAGCGTTGGTTGGGACCATGTTTCTCTGTGCGCCTCCAGGGGCTCAGAAGCGGCCGACATTGAACGATTCGCGCTATCGGAAGGCCTTGATCGCTCGATGCTGAGCGACCTTCGCGGGGTTCAGAGACCAGCACCGACGCCATGACGACACGAACCTGCCGTAGGTGGTACGGCGGAGAAGTGCGGGATACGGTATGCACCTCTGGTCGGGCAGGGGCTATGCAAGGGCGTCTGCTTTGGTATCAAATCATGGGAGCCTGGTGTGCCCTCGTTGTTCCGTCTTTAGCGTCGATTAGCGCCGGTTAGCGTCTGGGATTCGATAGGATAGCGCCGATTTAGCGTCGATTGAGCGTCGATTGAGCGCCGATTTAGCGTTGGCTAGCATCGATGTAGCGTCGATTTACGTCGACTAGCGTCGATTGGCGTCGATTCGCAAGAGCCGACAAGATGGTAGGGGAGGCTCCCGTGGCTTGCCATCGAAGGCGGGGAGGGACGTGAGGATGCTCCCGTGCCCTCTCGCAAGGCACGTCGTCAGCAGCTGGCCTTGTCCCGGAGGAGCTCCCCCCGCAGGGGACGCAGCGTTGCACAGCCTGTCTTTTCTGGCCAGGCCAGGAGCTGCACCTCGACGTGCTTCGGTCGTCTTGCCTCGTGGTCCCCATAGCAGGCGGGGAAAACACACACAGACACAAGTAAGCGTCGATGCCCAGGAAAACAGGGGAAAAAGTATGGGAGGTGGGGGGGAAGACGGAAGCCCAGAAAGTATGGGAAGATATGGGGAATCCTGTTATTTGTGTGTATTCATTTGTGTGTCCCAGGGCCCCTTCACTATAGCTTGTCGGAAGGGGCCGGCGAGGGCCAGGGGGGCATGGGCACCGCCCTCCGAGCCGCCCCAACCCAGCCCGAAGGCCCCGATTGGCCCTCCACTTCCAAGGTGTGGGGGGGAACATTGTGAGAAACCGCAGTCACAGATGGAACCAGCACCCCCCCCGCACCCGAAATTCGGGCCTCCGGGTTAGGTTGGGGTGGTCTGGTAGGTCGTCATCACGTCGGTGGCGGGCCCGCCGCCTTCTCAGAAGGCCTCCTTCTTCTCACCTCCCCCCCGCGCTCACCGCCGAGCATGGGCACTCCTTCCGCACGCCCGCCACCGCCGTCGCCCCCAGTGCGGCTGCCCAGAGCCGCTGCTGAAGCAGGAGCTCGTCACCCAGGACGAGCAGCCTTGCTTCCGCTGCGTCGCGGGCTTCTGCCCGGTCGCCCCCTCGGCGTCCGAAGCAGGGCCCGGGGGAGGCAGAGGCGGGGGAGGAAGATACGTCAGGAGGCCACATGCGAACCCTACTCCACCACCCCACGATTTCGAAAGGGGGAGGTGGGGCTCACTCTGCTCGGGAGGTCCCGAAGGAAGTGAACCCCACGTGCCCCCTTAGAAATCGTGGGGCGGTGGGGTAGGGTTCGCGTGTGGTCTCCTACACTTACAGTCGGCCCAGATTAGTAGGTCGACCTGCCAGCTCAAGTGTACCCTTGTGTCTTGGGCCTCGCGATACGTGCTTTCTTGCAGCTCCTATGGCGATGTGGCCCTCGGAAGGGTCTTGTGTCCTCTCGCGTGTCCTCTCCAAGGAAGTCCGACTGTGGCACCCCGCAAGCGCGAAGAAGAGTGAAGGGGGCGGGCGCGGTCTGCGTCGCGGGTGGGTCGTGCCTGGGTCGCGCGCGTGTCCTGGGAGGGGTCGCGGGGGGGGGCTCCGAGGTGGGCCGCGGGCGAGAACGACGACGACACCGAACAGCACTGTTGTTCGGTGTTGTTACAGACAGCAGCAAGAGCAGAAGCTGGGCCGGGGTTCCCCGCGTCACCCGCGCATCTGGGGAGGGTGCGAGACCGCTCGGCCCCCTCGCTCGGACGTGCCGGTGCCGCGGCCCGGCCCTTCCCCGCCCCGGCCTGACTCGCCTCGAGCTCCTGGTCGGGGCGGGCCCCGGCAGCGGTATCAGTATCTCTTTCCTCCCCCGGCAGAGGGGAACGAGTCGGGAGCGGCAAAGAGGGGGGTGATGACTAGGGGGGGGTGGATTTCATGGCGCGGGCCAGGATTGTTCCCCAGATTTCATGGCGCCTCTTCTTATTTCATTACGTCCCTGGTCCCCCCGCTGGGCCGCGCACATGCCGCCGGTCATGATGTGCACCCCCCCTCTTGGACACCCCCGTCTTGGCCGCTCCCGAACGAGGGAGGGAAGAGGGGAGGGCCAGGGAGAGGGGGGGGGTTCAGCCCTGGGTCAAACAGGGAGTTGCGCCAGGATCGCGTGCGAGCTGGCGCCCCGTCGCACCGCGGAGTGTCCAGGCTGCGCGGCTCCCGGGGGCGCCTGCCGCGCGACCTGCTCCGCAAAGGAATTGCCGCCGCCTTCTGGGCGCAGTAGGCGTCTCGCGGCCGTGGAATCCACCGTGGCCACTGGCGGAGTGGCTCAGGGAGGGTGCCGAGCATCGCGCGGCCGCTGGCTCTCCAGCGGCGGGCGGAGGCGCGGGCTATCTGCCGCTCCGCCGGGATCTGCGGCGCATTCGTCGCCCCGGGCCGGGGCGCGCAGGGCGCGGGCCGCGCTGTGCGGCCCTCCTCCGGCAGGCCTGCGCGAAGCCCAGGGCGGGCTCCTGCCGCGGGGCCCCGGGGGCTTGGGTGCCAGCGTCCTCGCCTTGTTGCCGGAGCGGGCCGAGGGCGAGGCCGAGGAGGGCGTCGAGCCGTTTGCCCCTGGCGGCGTGCGGTCTGCAGACGCCCGACTTCTCGCGAACGCGGTTGGGCTGGCGATGGAGCCAAGCCTGGCGCTGTGCGCTGCGCATTGCTAGCGGGGCGTCTTGCCCAGAGTATCAATGCAGACGAACATTTTGGACGCTGGCGACTCCATGGTAGCGGATGCCAGGCGGGGGGAAGGGGCGCACGCCGTCTTCTTCGACTTCACCGCGGCGTTCCGTTCCTGTCGAAAGAGTGCGGGCTTCTCTGGTCAATTCCCCGCGGGCTCGGTTGGTTCTCGTGGCCCGTTTAACGAGCGTGATTTCAAGGAGGTGCTGGCGGCGACGGTGCCGCAGTGGGGTGGTTTTCGGAGTGTGGGATCTGCCAAACATCTGGGGTTTTATTTCGGCCCTATCCGAGGGCGTCGCACCGCGTGGGTGCGCCCATCTCGCGACTGCTTGAAAAAAGATCGGAGTAGGGGTCGTCCCCGCGGCGAGCGCCAATGGCGCCTATGTGACCACGGTCCTCCTCTGTCTTTGTGGCGCAGCTCGACGCGGTGCCGGCAGAGTTCGTGGCCGCGGAGCAGCGCGCCGGCTGGGCCATGCTCCTCGGGCCGCCAGGGTGGATACTGGTGCTTGCGTGCAGGACCTCGAGGACTCCCTTCGTGCCGCGGTGTTCAAAGGACGTGGTGTTCAGCCGCTGTCGCCGCCGCGGCTGGGGTGGCCCAGTTGCCCGCTTCGAGGGCGATTGACGCAAGGGCGCGCTGCGCCCCGTTGCGCGAATTGTGGCGATGACCAGCCAGGGGTGCGACCAGGCGCTGGGCTGAGCGGCTTCGTCGATGCGCTGGCGCTCGCAGTGTCTTTGGCTCCACCAGGCCGCGGCGGACCGCCAGGTGCAGGCCCAGCTGGCGCAGGTGCTGCCTGACAGCGCCTGGATGAGGGGGCGGGCCAGCGGGGTCGGGCGGGTCGTTTGCCAGCCGCCGCCTTCGCGTAGCGTCGATTGCGGTGGGCGTCGGCGCGGTTCCATGGCGGGGCGCCCAGCCGCGCGCCTCGAGCCGTTGCTGCCTACCCGCGGGCGCTTTGAAGCGGTTGGCACCCTAGCCGCTGCTTGCGCGATGGAGCTACTTGTCTGTTTGGCTGGTGGCCGACCCGACGGGGCGCAGCAGTTAGCCCGTGGCTCCAGGCGCTGGGCTTGCGCCGCAGCTGGCCGGGCGAAAGTTGGACTTCGTCTTCGGCTTCGTCAGATCAGGCGCGCGGGCCGTCGCGTGGAGCTGGGCGCCATGCGCTCTTCGTCGCGCGCAACTCGCTGAGGCGTGGGCGCGTCACGGGCGAGCAGTTGGGAGGCGCGGGCCCCTCTGCGAGGCGACGTCGCGTGCAGAGCAGTGGAATGTCCCCCCTTTCGCCCCGCCCTGCCCTCGGGGGCGGCAAAGAGGGGGGTGATGACTGGGGGGTGGGTGGATATCATGGTGGGGGCCATGATCTTTCCCCAGATTTCATGGCGCCTCTTCTTATTTCATGACGTCCCCGCCCCCCCCCCCGCTGGGCCGCGCCCCCCTCTTGGACACCCCCCTCTTTCAGGAGGGGAAAAACACACACAAATAATCGTCGATTCCCAAGAAAATATGTGAAACTATGGGGATTGGGGGGAAGACAAAAACCCAGAAAATACGGGAAAATATAGGGAATCTGTTTATTTGTGTGTATTTATTTGTGTGTCCCAGGGCCCCTTCACTCTTGGCCGCTCCCGATGCCCTCCCCTCCCTCGTCTTCCGCCCTCCGACGGCCCTCGCCGCGGTCCCCCGGGTCAGTTCTGCGAGCGCTCGGGCGACTCCGACGGACGCGGGGCCTCCTGGTCCCTCTGCGAGTCGCTCCCCCTCCGGGACTTCACCTCCGGCTCCTGTCCAAGGTGTACCTTTTCTTGTGCATGCTCTTCAGCACCGCCTGCACCCCGCGCCCTCCGGCCGCCTGAGGCCCCGCCCGCCCGCGCCCTGTCTCCCCAATTAGTGCTTTGCGCGGCCCGCCTAGCTCTTAACCGGAAGAGGCTCGCTCTCGACCCGCAGACCAAAAAAAAATCCCTCTGCGGACCTCGTCCTTCCGCCTGTGGTGCGCGCAGGCAGCTTCGCGCCGGCGCGGAGACATGGTCATCCGCCCTCCTTCGTTCTGCCCCGTGGCTGTCCCGGTTCGAGGCGCTCTCGTGTTACCAAAAAATTTCCAGATGTCCAAAACATGTGTGTCAAGCATGTTTAAGCATGTAAAATACATGCTTGAAGCATGTTTAGAATATGTTTCCGACATTTTGAACACATTTCCGTTTTCAATACATGTTCCGCCTGCGGATCATGTATCAAAAACACAGGGATTTAACATTAATCACAACGATGAGTTCATGCATACATTTATTGATAGACTAGTCATGTATTGAACATAAAATGTGTTAACAACCCATGTGTTAAAACCTGCCCTGTAGGGTGTCCACTGTCGTGGCATCCACAACGCTCCCGGGGCTAGGGGGGGGGGCGTAGGCTTATCAGAAGCGCCCCTGGCTGCTTAGCAGGCGCGGGCTTTGTGTGCAGATGTAGGGCCGGCGACTTCCACGAAGCGGCCTCCCTCGGAACGCCCTCCCCTCCTGCCTGCTGCCCCCCCCCCCCGGTGCGCGCCGCCGGGTGACGGCGCGCGTGCCTGCGCAGTCCTGCCTGCCGCCCTCGCTGCTGGCCGAGGCGTGCGGCAGGCGCTTCGCGAGCCACTCGTGCGGTTTCGGTTTGGGAGGCAGGCGCTGAAATCTCAGTTGTCGCCGTGGACTCCGGGCCTGCCAATCTCTGTGAGTGTTTCGCCATCGGGTGCGTGTCTTTTTTGTTTTTTGTTTTTGTGTTTTTGTGTGGTATTAAGAGTATAAGCATATATGTGTGTATATATGTATGTATATATATACATATATATATATATATATGTATGTATATATATATATATATATATATATATATATCGGAGGTTGGGGGGTGAGATCGAAGTGGAACGGAGAGCCCCCCTACCGGGAAATCGATTTCGGTTTCGTGTTCGTGCGTGCCGTGCGGGCGAGGCGAAGCTGCGTGGGCGGGCGAGAGAAAGTCTCCTGTGGCTGAGGCGCGGCCGGACCAAATGTCTCCCTTCCGGGCGGCCGGGGGCCCGCGGTGTCCCGCCGGTGTCCCGCTGGTGTCCCGTGTGGCTGAGGCGCGGCCGGACCAAATGTCTCCCTTCCGGGCGGCCGGGGCCCGCGGTGTCCCGCCGGTGTCCCGCTGGTGTCCCGTGTGGCTGAGGCGCGGCCGGACGAAATGATTCCCTTCTGGGCGGCCGGGGCGGCGCGGTGTCCCGCCGGTGTTCCGCCGGTGTCCCGTCCGTGTCCCGTCGGTGTCCCGATGATGATGTTGATGATGATTATGATGATGATTCTGATGATGATGATGATGATGATGATGATGGTGATAATGATGATGATGTTGATGATGGCGATGATGATGATGATGATGATGATGATGATGATGATGATGATGATGATGATGATGATGATGATGATGATGATGATGATGATGATGATGATGACGTCGATTGCGAGATCGATTGTGATATCGGTAGTGAGACCGAATGTGAGATCGATTGTGCGATGCTGATGGTGATGATGGCCTTCATGGTGTTGATGTTTGTGATTATGATGACGACATTGATGATGATGATGATGATGATGATGATGATGATGATGATGATGATGATGATGATGATGATGATGATGATGATGATGATGATGATGATGATGATGATGATGATGATGATGATGATGATGATGGTGATGGTGATGTCGATGATGATGATGATGATGATGATGATGATGATGATGATGATGATGATGATGATGATGATGATGATGATGATGATGATGATGATGATGATGACGACGTGGACTCGCGGCTGTTGGTCGTGCCTTGCGCGACCGCCGTCCACAGGCAGGGCCCCGAGCACGTTGGGTCGGGGTCCGGGGGGCTCGGGTGTCCCAGGGGCCTTGGTGCGGGTGTCCCAGGGGCCTTGCGGGCCCGGGGGTCCTCGGCGCTCAGGGCCTCCCAGGGTTCAAGGGTCCAGTCTGGGGGTCGAGGGCTCCAGGGGCTCGAGGCCTCCAGAGGTTCAGGGGTCCAGTCTAGGGGTCGCCATCACCATCACCATCTCGTAATCATTACCACCATCAACAACATCATCACCATCGCCGGGACACCACCGTCAATCTTCGTACCATTCACGGATTTTGGTTCAAGGCTTCTGTTGCACTCGACACGCGGGGTTCCCCCCCAACGCGCCCACTTCGGTCACGCACTTCCTTCGGCTTCGCTACGAGGGGCCAGGCTTTGCCAGCCGAAATGCTCGACAAGAATTTGGAGACGCTGAAGAACATGAACACCCAGACGGCCAAGTACGACAATGCTCGACAAGAGTGTGGACGCAACTATCTCCACTGGCATTGTCACAACAACATTCACCACTGTTGCCCATTGCTGGGCCCCTCCCCCCCCAACCTCCTTATCACCCGCAGGGTGGTCGTATAGGTATATGTAAAATCGCAAGAGGGTGGCCACCGAGTTGGCCATCGCTTTACCCTTGCCCCACGCGGATGCGACGACCGTCCTCGTGGAGGTGCCGATTTTCTTGGTGAAGTGCTCCCTAGAGTGCCACCTGGTGAAGTGCTGTCTGGAGTGCTACATGGATGCGGAGTTCTTTCCTGGAGGCAGAATTGTTGTGATTATGTCCGAGGAGTGCTGCCTGTAGTCTGAGATCTTCTGGCGAAGTTTCTCGCTGGAGAGCTACCTGGAGCTGTCCGACATGGATTGTCCTGGTGAAGTGCTCCTTGAACAGATACCTGGTGCAGTGCTCCCTGGAGTGCTGCATGGGCGTCGAGCTCTTCTCGATGACATGCTGCCTGGAGTGCTGCAGTCGGCCCAGATTAGTAGGTCGACCCTGCCAAATCAAGGGTACTCTTGTGTCCTGTGTCTCGCGACCCATGCTTCCCACATTCCTGCGGCAATGTGGCCCTCGGAAGGGTCTTGTGTCTTCTCGCGTGTCCTGTCCAATCGAGTCTGACTGAACCTGATTGCGGCGATCTTCCTGGAGGTGCTCGCCAGCGTGGAGTGCCGCGCTGTCTAGAGGTTGAAATCTTCTCGATGGAGGTGCCGATCATCCGTGTGCAGTGCCCCCTTGAGTGCTACTTGATGCACTGTAGCCTGCAGCGCTACGGGGTGTAGGTGGTCTTCCTGGCGAAGTGCCACCTAGAGGAGGATATCTCCTTGGTGATGTGCAACCTGGAGTGCTACATGGAAGAAGTGAACTTCCTGGGGAAATGCACCCTGGAGCCGGACATCTTCCTGGTGAAGTGTGGTTTGGAGTGTTATTCGGGGGTGCGGATCGCCTTGTCGCAGTGTCACTAGGAGGTGAATATTTTTTGGCGTGCTGCATGAAGTGTTCCACAAGGTCGTCCAGGCCGTCGGCAAGGTTTCCCTGATGGGCACGGACACCGACGAGCTCCACCAGTTGGGACGCCAGTCCTTCGCCTCGGTGAGCGTAGCTGGCCCTTGCCGACGATGCGGTCGCCGAGGTCCAGGACTGTATCCGCGTGGTCCGCGGAGCGATCATGGAGGAGCTGGCCGCGCCTTGAGCGCCTTGCGAAGCCGTGCCCTGGACCCAGGGCCAACCGATGGAATTGCGTTTTCGGGCCATTTTGGCTTCCTCGCCGCGCTCGCGGGTTGCCGTTGTAATTATTGCCGGGAGCCGAGGTTTGACGTCAGCCCACATCCGAATACAATCATCCATTTAGCATCCGCCCCAGTTGCCATTTTTGCACAAGTAGCGCATTTGCGTTTTAGCAGTCAGCTCGCGGTGCCGTTCATGGTCATTCACGGCTGCGTTCCGCGGGATGCGCGCTTTGCTTCCATCAGGTGTCTTTATTCTTCCTTCCTCTTTTTACTCGTCGTCGTCCTCCACCTCCTCCTGTTTGGTAGCGTTGTGCCTGGAGCGGGAAACGGGGATGTCAGCAAATCCTCCCCTCCCCCCAGTGGCGGGGCACGAACTAAGGCACTGCCACCAGCAGCAGCAGCAGCCGCCTCGTGTTTAACATATAGGGGTCTCCGCACCAGGGGTGTGTACCGGCCCATCTGTGTCTCCAGGCGGCCACCCGACCACGAGGCAGCAGACGCATTTTGCCACAAATTTCTGCACCAATCAAGGTGTTGCCTGTTGGGTGGCTTGTTGAAGGCGGCTCGCCTACCGAAGGTTGGTCCTCTCGTGACTCTGGGTTTTCTTGGTGCATCTTGCCAGCATCGTCGCTGGAGGTTCGTGTTCGCTGCGGTGGAACAAATCATGCAATGTCGACGGCCCCACCATCCGTGTCAAAAGCAAGTGCAAAACAGCTTCTGGGTGGCCAGCGTGGTGTATGCTATGTGCACCGGCAATCACCAGCTGTGTGCACTGATCTTCGATGGTGATCGTGGGCCAGCGCACAGCGGCAAGTATGCGGATGCCGAGCACGGTCCACTGTTTACCGCACTTCATAGACCGTCTAGAAGTCGCAGACAGGGATGTTGCTGTGTGTGTGTGTGTGCGTCTGTGTTTGGGAGCATCTTCCCTCGTTGGCGGCCTCTCGCGGGGGGGATGGTGCTTGTCCAAACGAGGCGCCCCAGTGTCCTCGCCGAGCCCTGTGACCCGGTGGGCGTCCCAATCGTTTCCTTGGCGGTGTACCCGCTTGATGCTGCTGCTGCTGCTTATGATGATGATGATGATGACGATGATGATGATGCTGATGATGATGATGATGAGGATGATGATGATGATGATGATGATGATGATTACGACGAGGATGATCATGATCGTGATCATGATGCTAATGATGATGATTATCATGGTGATGCTGATGATGATGACGACGTGGATGATGATGCTGCTGCTGATGATGGTGATGACCATGATGCTGCTGCTGATGATGACGCTGATGATGATGATTATGATAATGATGATGCTGATTATGCAGATGATGATGACGATCATGATGCTGATGATGATAGCTGCTGCTGATGATGATGATGATGATGCTGATGCTGATGATGACGATGATGATGGTGATGATGACGGTGATGATGATGATGATGATGATGATGATGATGATGATGATGATGATGTTGATTCTGATGATGGTGATGGTGATGGCGATGGTGATGGTGATGATGATGGTGATAGTGGTGGTGGTGGTGATGGTGATGGTGATGGTGATGGTAATGGTGATGGTGATGGTGATAGTGATGATGATGGTGGTGATGATGATGCTGCTGATGCTGATGATGATAGCTGCTGCTGATGATGATGATGGTGATGGTGATGGTGATGGTGATGATAATGGTGATGGTGATGGCGATGGTGATGGTGATGGTGATGTGATGGTGATGATGATGATGATGATGATGATGATGATGATGATGATGATGATGATGTTGGGTGTGATGATGATGCTGCTGCTGATGATGATGCTGATGATGATGCTGATGATGATGACGATGATGGTGATGATGATGGTTTGTTCTTCAGAGCTGCCCTAGCATTGCGAGTTCGAGTTGGACGTGGCTGGCACCACACGTCGTCTCCCTGGCGGTCTGCCCGGCCCGCTCTTGGCTTCCTTTCGGTCGTGCTGGCCGGGCTCGTGGCGTGGTCGGAGTGCGGGGCACGGCAGACCTGCCTGCCGTCGCGCTCATCCTCGTTCCAGGGGGCCGACTCGCGGCGGGGCGCTGGCCGCCCCCTTCGGCGCGGAGGGCGTGCAGACAGTCGAAGGCTTCCACGTACACGCCAGTCGTTGAAAGCAGGTATCTATGCATGCCCAAATCTCAATCTCTTTTGGGCGCCTTCCCACTTCAAGATTCGAGCAGTTTTCCCTCTTCCCTCCTCTGCCGTGAGATGGCGGAACCCCAATCTGTTTCCAACGCCTTCTTCATGTCTCTACCCACTTCTTCCGACCGACGAGTCCTCGCCGAAGTTCGCTCCAGGGCTGTGCTTACGTGCGCAGGAGTTTCTGCAGTAGCTGCACGCGGGCTCCAGGGTTGTTTGGAAGATGTCCAGGACTTCCAGTTGCCGCCGGACGGACGGATTCCCCCGTCGGCGAAGTTTTTGACTCTGTATGGTTGCCCATCCGTCGATCGATCGCTGGTCTGGCATAGGACGCCGCTGCCGCTGCCTCCGCCGTGTGCCGCTGCTGACGTGCCAGTGTGGTGCTCGTACCTCGTTGCTGATTCCACGCGAAGCTGCTGAGCTCTTGCTCAGGTGGTCTCGCAGGGGGGCGCCGCGTGCAGCTCCATGCCCTGCGAGTGCGAGGACCCGAAGTGGGCAAAGGCGCCCCGCGGCTTGGAGGAGCAGGAGATTCAGGAGGGGAAAAAACATAGACATAATTAATCGTCGATTCCCCAGAGAATTATTGGAAAATATGGGAAGTGGGGGGGAAGACAAAAACCCAGAAACTATAGGAAAATATGGGGAATCTTTTTATTTGTGTGTATTTATTTGTGTGTCCTGGGGCCCCTTCAGAGATGCCCCTGTCGAGTTCTTTTATGATTCCGTACCTAGGCTCTGCCTAGAAGGGTTCTTACTGTCTATGCTTAAAGGGCCGGGCAGTGGATAACGCCCCGGGCGGTTCCCCCGGCATCCGCCCCGCGGTTCCCCCAGTTACGTCTCCTTAGCTTAGCGTTGCTTATCTCATCTTAGCTTAGCTTATTTCATCTTAGCTTAGCTTAGCTTCATCATAGCTCATGTTTATCTTAGCTTGGTTAGCTTAGAGGCTCTGCCTAGAGGGTTAGCTTAGCTTAGCTTAGCTTAGCATAGCGCAGCGCTGCCTTAGCATAGCATAGCATATCATACCATAGCCAAACATAGCATAGCATAGCATATCATAGCGCATCATAACATAGCATATCATAGCATACCATAGCATACCATAACATGACGCAGCTTAGCATAGCATAGCATAGCATAGCATAGCTTAGCATAGCACAGCGCAGCATGACATAGCATATCATATCATAGCATTGCATAGCATAGCATAGCGCAGCATAGCATGGTATAACATAGCATAGCATAGCATAGCAACTTATGCTGCTTTCCTAGGGGCTCCAACTTCTAGGTCGGGTCGCACTGGGGTACTTGGTGCTAGCTAGTTGATGTGATTGCTGCTCCTTGTTGGGACTCGTTCAAAACGTCCGTCTCTGGCGACTTTGGCTTTCTGAGATTTCGGACCAGTGACCTTAATGTTTTTTTCGGTCGCGTCGGCGACGCCTCGACCGCTCCCTTCAGCTGTGTCTCCTTCGTGTAGTATTGGTAGCAGTGCTCTTGATGGTGAGGAATGTAGCCTTAAGCCGTGCATGTCCCTCTAAAGGAGGAGTAGTCAAACATCTTCAAAAACTAGTCCGAGAACGACTTTTCTCGAGGAGTTTGGATTATTTTTCCAAACCCTCCTTGGTTGGGTATTCGTTTTGAAGAAAGCACTGCGATCTCCAGTCCTCCCGCCTCTCGCCTCCCGTCTCCCGCTCCCCTCTTGTCTCCTCTTGCCTTGTGCGGACCTCGCCATCCCTGGTGGGCTGCGACCTGCGACACTGTCGCCAATTTCGAGGGCTGCTGGGGAGGCCGTCCCTGGGGGGGGCTGCGATCTGCGACACTGTCGCCACTTTCGAGGGCTGCTGCGGAGTGAGGCACCGCGGGGATCTGAGCGAGACCTCGCCGGCGAGCTGCGACACTGTCGCCACTTTCGAGGGCTGCTGGTGGGTCCTGCGGGCTGAGGCACTTTCGAGGGCTGCTGGTGGGTCCAGAGAAACCTGGGGCGTGTTTGTTGAAGCGTGATGGTTTTCTCTCGGGCTCCAAGCGAAGCCGAGTCGGAACTTGATGGATACCATGTAGGTATCAAACACGTTTTGTTTGGACCCAGAGTGCTCGGATTCTCGGTTCCAGCAGTGGTTTTCCAATTTCCGCAGGGAGTTCATTTGAAGGTTTCACGGTGTGTTATATTGGAAAGAGCGCGTTCTGTGGTCGCTTGGAAGGTGGGGGGGGTGGAACCGGCCCTCGTCCCCCCCCGTGGATGGAGGGGGGGCGTTCAAACCCTCACCCCCCTCCCGTGACGGAAGGGGGGAGGGGTTTCGACCCCCCCCCCCTTCTCCCTTATTTCTCATCTCTCCCTGGCGCGTGCGTTGGCGGCGGCTGGCGGCGGCGGCGGGGGTGCTGGTGGTGGTGGTAGTGGCGGTGGTGGTGGTGGTGGTGAGGTGGTTTGTGGTGGTTGTGGTGGTGGTGGTGGTGGGTTGTGCTGCTGATAGTAGTGGTGGTGGTTGTGGCGGTGGTGGTGGTGGTGGTTTGGTAGGTTGTGGTGATGGTGGTGGTAGTGGTGGTGGGTTGTTGTTTTGGTGGTGGTCGTGGTGGTGGTGGTGAGCTGTTGTGGTGGTGGTGGTGGTGGCTGTGGTGGTGCTGGTTGTGTGGTGGTTTGGTGGTGGTGGTGGTGGGTTGAGGTGGTGATGGTGGTGGTCGTGGTGGTGGCGGTGGTGGTGGTGGTGGCGTGGTGGTTTGTGGTGGTGGTGGTGGCGGGCTGTGGTGGTGGTGGTGCTGGTGCTGGTGCTGGTGGTGGTGGTGATGGTGGTGGTGGTGGTGGGTGGTGGTGGTGGTTGGTGGTGGTGTGGTGGTTTGTGGTGGTGGTGTTGGTGGTGGGTTGTGGTGATGGTGGTGGTTGTGGCGGTGGTGGTGATTGTGGTGGTAATGGTGTGGTGGTTTGTGGTGGTGGTGGTTGTGGTGGGTTGTGGTTGGTTGTGGTGATGGTGGTGGTTGTGGCAGTTTTGCTGGTGGTGGTGTGGTGGTTTGTGGTGATGGTGGTGGTTGTGGCGATGGTGGGTTGTGGTGGTTGTGGTGGTGGTTGTGGTGGTGGTGGTGGTGGTATGGTGGTCTGTGGTCGCGGTGGTGGTGGTGGTGGTGGTGGTGTGGCCTTCGGCTCTTCCCGCCACTGTGTTTTGGGGAAGGGTCAGAGCTGTAATGGATGCCCCTTGAGGTCTCGTCAGAAGGGTTTCAGGGGCGTCTGAGGAGCATGCGAGGGCTGCCGCCGCCAGCGCCGGTGCCGTCGCCGGGGTGGGGTTTGAACCCCCCCCCCGCTCCTGGGCCCTCTCTGGTCATCGTCGCTGCGTTGGCGCTGCGGCGGCCCGCCGGCGGCGGCGCCGAGGGGGGGGGGGTTCCGGAGGGGGGGCGGGGTTAGGGGGGAGGGGGGTCCCCGTGGTTCTGATCGACGGCGCCGAGTGTTGGGGGGTGGGGGGCCCACCCGCCAGTTCGATACGCGCCGCCGAATGTTCCCAGGGCAAGCGCCCGTGAAGCGCGCTCTCTCTCTCTCTCTCTCTCTTATATTGGGAACTCAGGAATTCGGATGGAGGCCTGCGGACTGGCGCCCGTGCTAGCCTTTCACGGAACATGTTTGGTGTTCGGATTCTCCATGACCTGTTCAATTTGATTTATTCGACCTGGCTTCCATCCCAGAAAATGTTTGTGCTTTTGCATTTAATTCCCCATTCAAGTGTGGTTCCGAGGCGGGAGCATCAATCCGCTTGCTGGCGCGCGGGCCAGGGTCCGACGACCTGGCGAAACATACATTCGGTCCCGCGCTTGCGCGGGGACGCATGTTCTTGAAGAGCTTGCGCGTCGCTGAAGCGAGGACAGCGTTGCGCTTGCTCGCGTGTTGTCTCGCTTCCTCAATTGTGGCGGGCCAAACAAAAACCGCGCAAGGCAGGAACGAACGTGTCAGGACGTACTCCAGTTGCGCCGAAGCGAAACAGACGTTTCGTCCTCGCGCGGAGCCTCGCTTTTGAATCGGATTCCGCAAGCGTATAATTAGCGCGCCATGCTCAAAGCGGAAGCGCAGCCGCTCGGAGTCAACCGTGAGGGGTTGTAGCGAGAAACGCACTTTGGACTTCGCGCGCGCGATATGTGCCGCGCCGCAATCCCGCCGCGGGCTTGCGCAGCGTCGACAACAACATTTTCATTGTGGAAGGCAACACGTCGTCATTGTCGGACATTGTGTGGCTGTCCGATTAATGAAATTGAGCATCCCACTTCGGGCCCATGTTGGGGAAAATGGGGCGAGGGGGGAGAACACCATTCTGTAACTGCAGATATGAGCAGTATCAGCAGTAGCATCGATGAGACGCACACGTTGGTTGAGACGCGCGTGTTAGCGACGCGCCCCGTTTCCATGCGAAAATCAGCGCGTTCCGTTGCAAAGTCAGCCGGCATCGGCTCCACCAGCTCCCGTGATCGATTTTCGCGGATATGGCATCCGTATTAGCATGCGCCTCATAGTAGCAGTGGGCAGGGGACTAGGAGGATGAGGAGGATGAGGATGAGGATGAGGAGGAAAAGGAGGAGGATGAGGAGGAAGAGGCTGAGGAGGAGGAGGAGGAAGAGGAAGAGGAGAAGGCATATAGGAAGATGATGATGAGGAGGAGGAGAGGAGGAGGAGGTTGGGCCTGGACGTTGGGCTGGACATCAGAGCCTGGTGTCCTGGCGCTGCAGAAGGAGGAGGACCGATAAGGCAGAAAGGACGATGGTGGGAGGTCTGCGCCCGAGAGGTCGATGCCCCCGTGGACGGGCAGCCTTGCTGGCAGTGCGTCCGCCCGTCGCTCGACTTCACAGTGAGGCTCGGCTCCGGCAACGACACCTGCGCGGCCAGGCCGCTCCCGCCCCCCCTCCCTTCCAGGGACGACACAGATGGAAGAGGAGGAGGAGGAGGAGGAGGAGGAGGAGGAGGAGGCAGAGGCGGAGGAGGACATGGCAGGGGCCTTCTCCGAGGGCCTTGGAGGCTTCCAAGAAGGCTTCTCAGAAACCGCCAGGCCCTTCTAAGGAGGCCTCTGCCTTCGAAGAAGCTCCCGCGTCTTCTTGGAAGCGCACCTCCCTCGCGCCCCCCGCCAGCTCCCCCTGTGGGCGCCGCGGAGGGGCAGGTCCGCGGGGGGGGTCGGGCGGCCTTGGGTCCGGCCCGGCTGTCTTGTGTGGCCTGCGCGGCTCCTTGGTTGTGGCCTCCGGTCCGGGGGGGGCGCGGGCTGAGCCCCCCTCCTCCTGCTCCTCCTCCTCCTCGTCCTGCTCCTCTTCCTCCTCCTCCTCCTCCTGCTCCTCCTCCTCCTCCTCCTCCTCCTCCTCCTCCTCCCTCCTCCTCCCTCCTCCTCCCTCCTCCTCATGGTGATGATGGTGATGATGATGATGATGATGATGATGATGATGATGATGATGATGATGATGATGGTGATGATGATGATGATCATGATGATGCTGATGAGTCTGATGATGATCATGATAATGCTGATGTTGATGATGCTGATGCTGATGCTGATGATGATGGTGATGCTCATGATCCTGCTGCTAATGATGATGCTGCTGCTGATGATGATGCTGCTGCTGATGATGATGCTGAGGATGATGATGCTGATGATGATGCTGGTGCTGATGATGGGGCTGATGATGATGCTGCTGATGATGCTTATGCTGATGCTGACGCTGATGCTGCTGATGATGATGGTGATGATTATGCTTACTATGCTGATGCTGCTCATGATGATGAGCCTGATGCTGATGATGAGGATGATGATGACGACGACGACGATGATGATGATGATGCTGATGATGATGATGATGATGATGATGATGATGATGATGATGATGATGATGATGATGATGATGATGATGATGCTGATGCTGATGATGATGATGATGATGATGATGATGATGATGATGATGATGATGATGATGATGATGATGATGATGATGATGATGATGATGATGATGATGATGATGATGATGATGATGATGATGGGGATGATGGGGATGCTGCTGATGATGATGATGCTGATGTTGATGGTGATGGTGATGCTGCTGCTGCTGCTGATGATGATGATGATGATGATGATGATGATGATGATGATGCTGATGATGCTGATGAGGAGGGGGAGGGGGAGGGACGATGGGGGATGGGAAGAGGGAGGGCGTGCAGCCGTGCCGGGTTCGTCTCCGTGGCTGCTGCAGCGGCTCGGCCAGCCTCTGCCTCCATGGCTTCCGCGTGTGCGCGCCCCCCCGCCCGCCGCGCCGGGCAGGCTCGGGCCCGTGTGCCTCAGGGATGGGTCGTTCGGGCGCTCTTCCGCCGGCTCCGTGACGCCACCTCGGCCTCGTGCTCGTCCTCCTCTTCCTCGTTGTCGTCGTCGTCGTCGTCCTCCTCCTCCTCCTCCTCGTCGTCGTCCTCCTCCTTCTTCTCCTCCCGCGCCTCCTCCCGCAGCCGCCACGGACTCCTTGTCGCACGGCTCCGAGGACCTTCGAGTGCTTCTGGGCCCGTCCCTTCCGCGGCCCCTCGCCACGGTCGGCCAGGACCGAAGGGCGCAGTCTCTGTGGTATGCCAGCCTGCATCCAGGCACCGCTGTGATGAGCGCGCCGTCCGTCCACCCCTCAGCTGCTCAGGAGGGGAAGAAACACACAGACACAATTCATCGCCGACTCCCAGGAAAATATGGGAAAATATGGGAAGTGGGGGGGAAGGCAACAACCCAGAAAACATGGGAAGATGTGGGGAATTCTGTCATTTGTGTGTATTTATGTGTGTGTCCCAGGGCCCCCTTCAGCTGCCAGCAGCGCCGCCAAAGGGCAGCCCGCGGCAGGGAGCGGGTGCCCCCCGCGGCCTTCCTCTCCTGCGGCCTCGGGCGGCCGCCGTCGCGCCGACAGGCTGCCCGACGCGGCGGAAGAGGCCGCCGCGGTGGAGGCGCAGGGCGACGCGGCCTCGCAGCAGATCGTGCTGAAGGACAGCGTTGTGGAAGTCGATTAATTCAAGGGCGTAAACAACGCCCCTACCCTGGTTTCTGGTTTACGAGGCGCTGTGCGCTGAAACTCATGTGGGCTGACAGGGTAAACTCCGCGTGATGTGCCGCGTCCTGGCGGCTCTAGGCTTTGGGGGTTCCCAGGAGGTTTACAGACCACGCACTTGTAACTCAGGGTAGGGTCGTTTTTTTTTTGATTTCTTTTTCATCCCTCATTAATGGAGAGGAAGCATGCTGCCAAATAATTTTTCCAGTTGTGTAGAGATGTTTCAAGCATGTTATAAGCGTGTAGAGTGTGAAACATTTTTAGAACGTGTTTTGCACATGTTGAACATCTTGAATTCAATGATCGGATTGCTGGAGTGTCCATTGTCGTGGCATCCACAAGGACAGCGGCGGGGGTGGCGGGCGGGGCGGGCCAGGGTTCACCAGGGCCACTCCGATCCGACCGGCCCGATTCGGCCTCGATGTCGGCCGGCCCGGTGCGACTCCGATGCTCGACGGTCGGACGCGGCCCGTCGCTTGTATGTCAGGAGGGGAGAAAACACACAGACACAATTAATCGTCGATTCCCAGGAAAATCTTGGAAAATATGGGAAGTGGGGGGAAGACAGAAACCCAGAAAATAGGAAAATATGGGGAATCCTTTTATTTGTGTGTGTGTTTATTTGTGCGTCCCAGGGCCCCTTCAGTATGGTGCTGTTGGGCACTTTGCTGCGGCCGAGGCGGTGCGATGTTGGCTCCGTGCCGATGCTCGACGGCGCGCCCCGGGGAGGGGGCAGAGGGGGCGGGCCTCCTGAGAAGGTCTGTCCCCCCTCTCACTTCCTCCCTCGTCGCTCCGGCCGTGCCTCACGATTTTTAGTGGCAGTGTCAGCTGTTTCGCAGTGCCAGCTGGCGGGTGAGCTGCGGGAGACTTGTCGAAGGGTGCGTCGTCAACTGCAGGGAAGAAGCACTTCCTCCGTCGGCGCGCCGCCGAGACGCAGGCCGATCCCACGCGCACTCCCGCGCGCTTCGATGGCCCGGCTCGCTGCTGACGGATCCTGGGCCTGTGGCGGCGAGCTCTGGGAGCCTCCCTCGGGCCTTGGGCTGGGCCGCGGGATGCCGTCGAGCCCCAGGAGTGCAGCAGCTCCAGCGGGTGCGGCTCGTCTCGGGCGGCGGGATCTATGCATCCGGCGGAGGAGGAGGAGGAGGAGGAGGAGAAGGAGGAGGAGGAGGAGGAGGAACAGGAGGAGGAGGAGGAGGAGGAGGAGGAGGAGGAGGAGGAGGAGGAGGAGGAGGAGGATCACGGCGGCTCTGTCTGGGCGGGCTGCGGCCTCCGGGGTCTCTCGCCGCGCCCCAGGGCCGTCGATTAGCGGCTCGCTGGCCCCCGGGGAGGGGTCTGGACCTCATGGCGTCGGAGGTCTGGGATATCTAGGGGGCCGCATGCGAACCCTACCCCTACCCCTCACGAGTTCTGAGGGGGAGGGTGGGGTTCACTTCGCTCAGGAGCTCCTGAACCGAGTGAACCCCACCCTCCCCCTCAGAAATCGTGGGGGGTAGGGGTAGGGTCCGCATGCGGTCCCCTAATATCCACTGCCCCTGGCCAGGCCCATCCTTGGTCTGGCGCATGCGCCGCCCTGCTCAAGCCAGGAGGGCGTGTACGCCGCGCCGTGGCCCAGGATTGGCCTGGGCAGGGGCGGTGGATGTATGCAGATCTCGTCGCCCTGCCGTCGGGGGCTGCCGTCGGGGGGCGGGGGGGGGGGCGTGGGGCTGCCCCAGGCGGCATTCCGCCGCGGGAGTTGCGGCCAACGGGCCGTGGGGCAGGGGACTGCTGGGGGAGCAGGGAGAGCAGGGGGAGGGCGGCGGTGGGCGGCCGGTGAGTCGCAGAAGGAGAGGGGGGGGCAGCGACGGGGCCGTGGGCCGCTGTTTCGGGGGAGTGGGGGCCACGGGCAACGAGGCGAAGCCTCCTCATCCGGCTCGAGTTTTCTGCAGAGGAGGTCGGGGTCAGGGGACTCTGGCGGTCCCCCTGCTGTGGGCCGGTCGTGGGAGGAGGGTGGCAGGGTAGAAATTATTTGGGAGGTGGGTGGACGGGCGGGGAACAGAGGTCCCAGGTGAGGAGTGAGGATCGGGAGAGTTGCATGAGCTCGCAGTCAAGGCGAACATGTGCTGCCCTGCCGGGCAGGCTGCCATCCGCCACAGGAGGCTGGGTGCAACGGTGGCCCCCCTGGCCTCAATGCCAGAGGCTCAGATGTCGGGTGGCCACATTGCGCCGAAGTACCTCTGGATCTTGCACAACCGATGGTGACCTACACACTGCCACCATGGCCTACCATAGGTTTGGCATTCGAGCCGGACAGTTGCATTGCGTACACAACCGCAGGGCAGGCTTTCAGCCAACGCAGTCTGCGACCTCGGGAAGAACAGAAGCTTTTTGGGGCGAGCAGGCGAGGTGGCTGCAAGGGAGCTGTCGCCCCCTGGCGCCCCAGAGGAGACGGCGGACCCGGCGGAGTGCATGGCCTTCCGGTGCCCCGTCGTTAGTTCGTCGTTTGGACGTGTGCAGCATCTCGCACCTTTCTCTCAATGTCTGCGTCCTCCGCGACTGACCGCACAGGCCCGGGCATCTTCTGTCCACATCGGGCCAGTCTTTGGGCCTGCTTGGGCCATCTTCGGGCCTCTCGGGGGAATCCTTTTGGGGGCAGACTTGGGCAGTGCTTGGCTATCTTGGGTCCCTCTGAGCATCTTTGGTGCCTCGTCTTGTGGCCATCCTGCGGCTCTGTTGGGCCATGCTGGGGGATCGTGCGGCTCTGGGGCTGCGTTCAAACGATCCCAGTCAACTTGAAGCATCTCTATCTAGAAATGCTTCAGAGCACCCAATAGTTTTGCAAGCTTCGACATGCGCGCGGTGAATGCGCGCGTCTGGCACGCAGAGTCGTAGTTGACAGAGTTGGTGGGTGCGCGATGAGTGCAGAATGATGTCGACATGCGCGCGCGCGTGTGGTCCACACAGTCTAACTCGGCAGATTGTCAGCACCACCTATTTTCTTATGATTCCAGCGAGTGCGCGCACTCAGGAACTCCGCATGTGTTTTCGAATGACATTCACGTTTGTTTCTGACACTTTTGTTGTTGTTGTTGTTGTTGTTGTTGTTGTTGTTGTTGTTGTTGTTGTTGTTGTTGTTGTTGTTGTTGTTGTTGTTGTTGTTGTTGTTGTCGTTTGTTGTTGTTGTTGTTGTTGTTGTTGTTGTTGTTGTTGTTGTTGTTGTTGTTGTTGTTGTGCTGCTGCTGTTGTTGTTGTTGTTGTTGTTGTTGTTGAACATTATTACTTCTAAAGAATAATTATTGTTGGGACCCCTGGTGCGCGGCCCCCCCGCCGCGCCTAGGCCGCAGCCACATTTTCATCATTTTCGTGAGGAAGTCTCAGGCAAAACGGGTTGGTCCGGATCCGGTTGTTTTGTTACGGCCCGCTTTCCCTTGCAAAAAATAAGCTAAAGTGGACATTTCTTGTTCTAACATAACCAAACTTCAAGAATCCCTTGCAAAAAATAAGGTAAAGTGGACATTCGCGCGCGCAAGACGAAATCCTTCCAAAACCTTAGTTTTCGTAGCGATTTTAACATAAAAACATCAAAAAACCAATGGTTTTTCAACAAAAAAATGTCAAAATTTCATCCCGCGCGCTCTTGCGGATTCGTAGGAAACCCAACACTTTTTAAACATTTCTGTCAAACGGGCTTTTGCGAGCAACTTTTTCGAACTTCTGCAACAACGGTTGCGCACCTGCCAGGGCCATCATCCCTGTCAAATAATACCATGCGGGACACATTCGTTTTTTCTTCGCGCGCGCACGCCGTCGTCGTCGGCCGCGGGGCCCTGAATAGTAGCCACGGTCGTCCGCATGCCACGAAGTGAAGTGTCCGAACGTCATAGGGCGGGAAGCTGGGTGTGGGTGGTGGCGAAGAGTCGTTTGGAAATTTGGTAGAGCTTGAACCGGCCCCCCCACAAAGTGGGGGTATTGCCCGCCTCCTATGAAAACCCTGGCACTGGTGAGAACGGAGTGTCCCCACGTGCTAGTAATTGTTGTTGTTGTTGTTGTTGTTGTTGTTGTTGTTGTTGTTGTTGTTGTTGTTGTTGTTGTGTGTGTGCGCTCGCGTGTGGCCCGCGTGGTACTGTTTGATTCGGATTCGTTCAACGCACACTTGTCATATCGAAGCGGGTGCTTCGCAACTAACTATGTATTTGACAAGCATCGGTGACAGGGGTGGCGGCGGGTCGATCGAGGGATCTCGGGGTATGGTAGGAGTTCATATTGTGGATGGGCCATCGTGCGGAATCAGCATAGTCAAGCTACCCTTCCCGAAGGACGGCCGTGTTGCTGATTTCCACCCGCCCTCAAACCACATATGTAGCACCCGAGCCTCAGCATTGGCAGGGGCCGCCATCGACGATCATCGGGAACCCATGCAGACGGCAACCAGGTACTCGACGCCCGTGAAGTGCGCCGCGCGTGTCAGGGCATCCCCATCATCCTTGCCAGATGGCGATGCAAAGTGATCACGCCACACCCTCGCATGATCAAGCTTTTGCGGCAACATGTATTTCGTATCGCTTGTTTGACAGGAGTGGTGGGAGGGGGTCGTCATGGTGTCGGGTTTGCCACTGTTCAGGTCGGGTAGGTTGTGTATATTTTCTCATGCTAAGGTCATGCTGAGCAATGCTAAGCAACGCTGCGCCATACCAAACAATGCCCAAACGTGTAAAGCCAAAGCTCAGCAATGACAGACAGCGCCGAACAATGCCGATACACACAAAGCCAACGAAAAGCAATGCCAAGCAATGCAACGCAGCGCAATCCAGTGCCAAACAGTGCTAAGCAGCATAGTGCAATGACAAGCCATGCCGCGCCATGCCAAGCAGTTCTGTAGATTGATTTGTTTTGTATTGCTGTGGAACTGCTATGGAAACATGTTACCCCCAGTTGGGGTCGCACCGGGTTCATTTGAGCAACAGTCGGCGCCATCGTCACCATATTCACCATATACATTTGTCCGAACCACCAATATGTGTGCGATTATTCTCTGATCGACACCAATCAATCACCCTTGTTGTCAGTTCGACCTGGGAAAGGGCCCCTGGTTCATATGGCCCACATTCTGAGGTTTAGCCCTTAGATCTCCCAGGTTGCAGTCCAGACTTCGTCCGCGTTGCCTCTTTCGAACCGGGAAGGGCGGGCAGGGGGAGGAGGGGAGTGCAGGGATGTGGCCTCCCACGCCAGGTACAGCGGTGCCCTCATCACCGAGAAGAGGCACGCCCACCGCTGTCTGGTGTGGCGCCCCTTCGGCGCCCACTGGGGCCTGGGGAAGTGCGACGCCCACGATGTCAACATGCAGTTTCAGGACATGCATGTTCCACTCTCGGTGGGCAAACTTTCCACCACCGCTACCACACGTAGGACGTGGGAGAAGGGAGGATGAGGAGATCCTCCTCCTCCTCCTCCTCCTCCTCCTCCTCCTCCTCCCTCTCCTACCTGTGGTAGTGGTGGTGGAAGCTGGGCCCATCGGCTCTCCCTTTGCACGCGCTCGTTGTGTGTGCTCTGTCCCCCTCTTCCGCGCGGCGCCGGTGCTGCTGCGGGTGCCGGTGCCGCCAGGAGCTGGAGCTCGAGGCGCCAGCGGACCCCAGCGCCGCGCCGCACGTGTACTGCGCCGGCGGGGCCGCCAGCGTCCACAGCCTTCGGCCGCTCGGAGGGCCAGGGGAAGGCCTGGGCCAGGCCGACTGCTGGTTGCATCCTCTCGGCCCTCCCCTCCCCCCCTCTCCCCTCCCCTCCCCACTCCCCGTCCCCTCCTTCACCTCCGCTCGCCCCTCTCCCACCCTTCCCTTCCCCTCTCTCTTGTTCCCTTCCGCTCCATCGCTGTGTCATGCCTTCGTCTCTTTTCTTATCCTGGCCTCTGCCTCCTATCCCAGAAGAAGCGGGATCAAGTTGCGGCGGCAAGGGCAGGTCGACGTCCTTGGTTTCTGGGCATATCGAAGCAGGCCTGCGGGCACTCGCAGTGCCAGGGGCAGAGGCCCAGGGCGAGGGGCAGGGGAGCAGGCAACAGGTCCAGCAATATCAATGGGTTCAGCTGCCGCCGAAGCCAATGCGCGGAAACACCCTGCTTGCCTCCAGGATGCCCTGGGCTTCTTGGGTCTCCATGTTTTTTTTACTATGGGAAGCGCGACTCTCCCACGCCAAACATCCATGCACGTCCTGGGGTGTCAGGGTTGGGTTTTTCTTGTGGAAGGTGTCTTGTGGTCGAGCTCCTACTCTATTGGCTGGAGCTGGCCGTTTTAGCTCTCCCGCTCTCGCGCGTTGCATCAAACTTGTATTGATGCCTCCAGGGCTTCGCCCTCTGCCGCCGCTCCCACCTCAGATGGTTTGCCTGACCGCGCTTCGGCTGGTAGGCTGGCTTGTTCTCGTGTCGGTTGGCTGGCCGGCGGCTCGGTGGATTGGGTCGATGCTTCCGCCTCTGACTTGTGGCGCGAGGAGGGGGACGGTGCGGTAGCACATCTATCGGCAAATGCTGAGCCAGATGGCTGCGGAGATGATCCAGGTCGGCGTGTTCGACTCCACAGATTCTGCAGCTCAGGCTCTCGGGAGGGACCAGGCCGTGATGAAACTTCCGAGCCCCATCAGGAAGACAATCTCCCCGAATCAGCGGCCGAGAGAGATGCCCGCCAGCCACCACCCTATAGCTAAGTACGGTGCGACATACCACGCATACATTGGTAGGTGATAGTACGTGCCCAGCATTACGAACATGGTATCTAGCTCGTAGATGGTTCAGTAGATCTCGTTTCGCCCGAAAGACGGCCGAACATAACAATCCTTCCTCCTCCACCCACTCGCACTTCCATTCTCGAGGGACCTCAAGACCAGGGGGGGCTGGAACTTCATGAGGAGCTTGGTAACCTGGAGGGGGAATCGCCACTCGAGTCTGGACCGACCGAATGACCGAGAAATCGATCTTGATAAAGCCGGGCGCCAGCTCGGGGTCCACGAACCTGCAGGGGTACGCCGAGAGTTCTTCCATGACCATGGCCTTCTCCCCGAGAGTACTCCAAGCCTCCTGGAAATCCTCATGAATCCGACCAGCCCAGGGAGACGCATGTTTTGTCAGACGATCCTGGAGAACAGGTCTGAAGCGGTCGAAGTCCAGCGCTGGCAAACAGCCAAACAGTGTACACAGGAACTGCTTGTTTCTGTCATGGAAACGAGCAATCTGCTGGTACCAGCTCAGGCGCCTGACCAGCAACTCTTTTGCACTCGGCACCAGTCTCCAGTACTGCAGCACTTCTGAATTCGACCACGTCTTAGTATGAGCACCTTCGCGTGAGGTGCCTCGACCATGGAGTGGTACTCGGCAGAGGCGTGCAAGGTGAGCATCCAATTCTTTGCACTGCTGAGGAGTCACCACCATCGCCTCCAATCCACTGATTAACGCGTTCTGGACGAGCCCAATCAGGATAACTCTGGTCCACCTCCAGGGGCACTTCAGGGACCAGACACCACCCATGGAGTAGAAGCCCGTCGATGCTGCTTCCATGCGCCTGGAGACCTCGGGGCCCGTGATACCTGACAGCCGAACATGTCGGGCCCAAGATACCTAGTACATTCGTGAACTTCTCCCAAGATGGGCGCGGCATGTTGGCGAAGCCACCTCTTGACCTTCAAGCTCCCTGCTCCCGAGACATGGACAATAGTGACCTGTTTACTCTTGTTGGCTCCGAAGCCTGCCTCCTCCAGCTCCTCCTCGAATACCTGATCCGAGTATCCCATCCATCCCAAGAAATCCGCAATCCCCTGAAATCGAGACGCCACCGTAAGATTCCAGACGTCGTCAGCATATTTAACATGCTCAGATGTGCTTTCATCTCCTTTCGTTCAGCAATTAGGGCCCGAGCAGTACGGGGGGCTTCCCGATACTTCCAAGAGAAGATGGGAAGACTGATCGTGCCCCTGAAGAGGGTGACGACGTATGGGTCCCCCATGGTGCCACCTTCGCCTGGTTGGGGCCACAAGGGGGTACCGTCGGCCGCAGGGAGGCGAATGCGGGACTCCCGATATCTTTGCATCGACAGCGGAACGTCTAAATCATTGTGAATGTGCAAAATCCATTGTCGCATCCAACTCAGAGTAGTGGCCTGACGCGAAGGCGTTGCTCATGTCCTCCAGGCTGGCGGAGGACGTACGGTACGAGAGGCCCCACTCGTTGCGCAAGCCGACGGCCGAGCTGTGGTGCCAGTGACTCGGAGTTCGAGCCGCGCGACGAATCATGCGATCGCCGCCCACAATCGCCTCCGTGAAGCAAACCATGCCGGGGATGCCCGCATCAGCTCCCACACCCCATCGCCTTTTGACGGGTCGCTCGTCGGCGCGGAAGCAGAACTGCCACAGCTCGACAGGTGGGGCCCACTCGGGCACAGCACGTCGACGACCAGCCGTCTGAACCGCCCATGGTACACCCTTCATGTCGTCGCGGGCGCGCTGCTCCATCTCCAGCGTCAGGTTGGGGAGGGGCTCCTTTGACGTCGCCAGCACAGGTGGGTCCACCTCCATCGCCGACATGCCGTTCATTTGGCCTGGTTGCTCCCAGGCGGCCAGTCACTCTGCACGAGTAGGTTGGGCAGCTCGGACCGCACGACCGTCGCGCTTCTTTGGTCCGACCCTGCACCTGCCAGCCTGCCGAGAAAGCCTCATCGCCAGCGCAAGCTTCCTATCCTTCCAGGCTGCCTCGATCTCCTCCTCCATGAAGTCTCTTCCGCGGCGCTGCTCTCTCTTGGCGACACTGCTGATGGAGCTGACGAGTGACCTCCTTCAGCTCCGCCTCCATCCGCTCCAAGTCAGTACCGCTCCCAGTCACCAGAGATCCCAGGTCAGCTCGGAGCTCGGCCCGTCGTCGAAGAAGGTCTCGCCGAAGCGCCGCGTCTCCCTGGTACTGCGGCGGAAGAGAGGCTATCCCGCCTCAAGCAGCACCTGGTTAATGTAGTGGGAGCAGCGAGAAGGGTCCCCCCTCCGTAGCATCTCCGTCCACTGGGGGTCCTCGTTCTGCAATCGATTCTCCACGGCCGTCAGGAAGTCGCGCTTCAAGTCGCCTTCCCCCTCAAAGCGATCATACTATTATCCCGATCCCAATCCACTCGATGGGCTCGATGAATCTGTGCCGAGAACTTGGGAACCTGAATGTGTAGCATGATCGGCACATGGTCCTGTGGGGGCGGGCCCTTGAACGCCTGCAGCTGCGCGCCAAGGCCCCTGAGCCGGTGGCAATGCTCGATCATATCCGCCATGAAGAACATCTAATCAATCATGGAGCTGCCACCTTTCGTGCCGAAATACGTAGGTGTCCATCCCTTCTGTGCGTTCGCCGCCAACAAGTGATGCTTGGCGGCTCGCTCACGAACCGTCTCTCCTGCTCCGAACCTTCTAGCCTCCTTCGTCGCCGCCATCTCCTACACCACTCTGTCATCAATCCACTGTCACTTCGACGACTCGCGACCGAGACCGATACCGTCGTTCACGTCTGAGTAGATGATTGGACAGCAGCGCGAAGGGAGGGAGCTCAGAACCTCGTCGAGCCAGTCGCCCAGCAGTCGCACCGTCTCGAGATAGAGCGGCACCTCCGCGGCCCGCCTCGGCTGCGGTGGGAAGTAAAGGACCACCAAGCAGTAGTCTCAAGTCGGACCTGTCCCTCTACAGGGGGAAAACTCAACAATAATCTAACAATAGTATAGGGACTATTTTTTGAGTATTTTTGGGCATCTTTTGCCCTTAGCATGGCGTAGATCTCCTCTTTATTCGCACAGTCGGATATCGAGCAGGGCAATGGTCCCGAGAGGATGCGCGACGCATCGTAGAGCACGGCACATCAGGGCGTAGAATAGCACGGCAGATCGTAGTATGTCATAGCATTCATGGTTTGCGTGGTGAAGACTTGCATCACAAAGCATTGCAACGCAAATCATGGCATCGCACAGCGGCATTGAACATAACATGGCATAGCATGGCGTTAAAGATCAACGCGTCGCATGGCATAGCATGACGTGGCACTGCGTAGTCAAGCACTGCGTATCCTAGCATTGCAGCTGAAGGCATGGCATCGCACAGCGGATCACCACATAGCATTGCATTGCATGTCGTGGCATGGCACTGGAAATAATGACGCCAGCGCTGCAGCGGGGGCACGATTCGGAACGAGCGGAAGCGCGGAACTGTGGCCAGCGTTTCAGCGGGAGCACGATTCGGAACGAGCAGAATCGCGGAAATGAGGCCAGCGCTGCAGCGGGAGCACGATTCGGAACGAGCGGAAGCTCGAACATAAGGCCAGCGTTTCAGCGGGAGCAGCATTTTGAAACAAACCCAGCGAAAACCTAACTCCTTGGAATATTGTGTGTAACAAGCAGTGCGCGGAGGGGGGCTGGACATCTTCTGGAGGTCATCCGGGGAGAAAGGAGAATAGTTATCATATTGAGTAATTGTGGAGGGGGGATGGGGAGGGTAGTGGGGGACAGGGGGAATGGTGAAGGCGGAAGGAGGAAGGAAGAAGGAGGAAGGATGGAGGAGTGTAGGAATGTGGGAAGGAGGACCGAGGAAGGAGGACGGAGGAAGGAGGAGGAGGAGGAGTGTGGATGAGGAGGAGGATGAGGAGGATGAGGAGGATGAGGATGAGGATGAATGAGGTCGAGGATGGGGAGGATGGAAAGGAGGAGGAGGAGGAGGAGGATGAGGATGATGATGAGTAGGAGGAGGCGTGAGAATGGGGATTGGGGGTTCGCGGGTTTATGAGGAGGAGGAGGAGGAGGAGGAGGAGGAGGGAGACGAGGGAGACGAGGAGGAGGAGGAGGATCAGAAGGAGAAGGATGAACTGGGAGGGAGAACAAGCCAGGAGCGTGCGCCATATCTGTCATCCTACCCCTTCCAGCCATCCTTTTCCCACTACACTTACGTCATCGTTCTCCATCCGCCGACGGGTTCCTTAGCGGACCTGGATCGTGAAGATGACCTTCATCGTTTGGTGCGCAGTCAAACATGGGAACTGTGTACGTCGAAGGAGGTGGTAGCGGATGCTCAGGAAGAGGAAGAGGAGGAGGAGGAGGAGGAGGAGGAGGAGGAGGAGGAGGAGGAGGAGGGCGGCAGGAGGAAGAAGGAAGAGGACCAGCATTAGCAGGAGCAGGAGTAGGATGAGCGGGAGTAGCAGGAGGAAGGGATCGGACATGTAAGTGTGGCCCACGCGGGGGCGAGAACGCTATTCTGGACAACGGGAGCAAAGCGCCGATCCTGAAATGGAGCCATCGTGTGGAACACCGGCACGACAACTAAAATGTGGAAATGCTGTGCGTTAGAAGGCACCCTGTGGGACAAACATTCGCCCCGCTCGGATGGTATTAGGATAGGCGGAGGGAGGATGGAGGAGGAGAAGGAATAGGGGGAGAAGGAGAAGGAAGAAAAGGATGAGGATGATGAGGAGGAAATGGAGGAGGATAAGGAGGACTTGGAGGAGGAGAGGGGGAAGCGAATGAAGAGTATTGATGCGGAATGGCCTTCGGCAGCCGCTGGGTGCTCTCGGAGGTAGCTCGACCGTGTTGGAGTGCTCTTCCAGAGTATCTCCTGCAGGGTTTCCGATGGTTTGCCACGCAGCTTGCGCCCTCCGTCTGCCACTTCGTGCACGGCCAGACTTCGGTGGAAGGGGCCGCCTTTCTCGTGGCGGTGCCTTCCTGCCACTGCTGCCTATCTCCCCGGGGAAGGGCTCAGGGCGCCACGTGCTGTCCATGACGGGTGTCGTAATCCTTCATGCCTCTGGTTCCGTCCTCCATTCTGCTCGTTTCTTGCTATTTCGGCGAGGAGAGGGGGCGTATCCTCAACTATCCTCAACTTCTTCATCCTCAGCCTCATCCTCATCCTCGTCCGTATCCTCATCGGCGTCCACCTCATCCTCGTTGTCACCATAACCATCCAGTCCTGCTCCTCATCATTGTCATCATCATTGTCATCATTGTCATCATCATTATCATCATTGTCATCATCATGCGTCCACCATATCCTCATTGTCATCATCCTCCTCCTCATCTCCGTCCTCAGCATCCTCATCCTCGTCCTCATATCGCAGGAGGAGCGGACGGGCGGTCTCTGGTATTTGTCTGCTTTCGCTCGCGGGGTGGAACGACGACGGGGGCCGGCCGAAGACGATTTCAGGGCCAGCGGCTCACACGCTGCATGCTCTAGGCTAGAGTCAAGGTTTCTTGACCTCGCGTCATGGGCCAAAAGAACATCGCCCACACATATGCCTCCTCCTCCTCCTCCTCCTCCTCCTCCTCCTCCCTCCGTAGCATTCGAGTTTTTCCCAGCCTCGGCTGGGATCTGGAGGTGGCGGCGTGGAGCTAAAAAATATCCTCCTCCTCCTCTTCCTCCTCCGCCCCGCACGCTCCATCGCAAGCAGTTGCTGCGATGCGAGCGTGCCCCGTGCCCGCCTCCTCCCAGCGCGCCCCCGGTGGCGCAAGCCAAGGCAGCAACCGCTCCGAGTACTGCGTCGAGGTCGCCGACCGCCTCTGCACGGAGGAGGAGCCGGCGCCTACCCGCGCGGACAGGCAGACAGGGGGTCAGGTCGACTGGGGACCTGAGCGGGGCCAGGCGGCAGTGGAGGGGTCGCCATTGAGAGGAGGTTGGCTGGCTAGCCGTTGTTTTCATGAGGTTGTCACTGTTTCCAGGGCCTGGGAGGCGTGCTGCTGCGCCTCGTCGACGGGTTTCCTGGGGACGCCAGTGTCGCCCGAGGCAGCACGGTTTTCAGACCCAGAGGGGCCTGTGGTTGCCATTGACGCCCCTCGTGCCCGTTGGCATCGAGGACCTTCTCCCTTCCCCCTCCTCTCATTGTTTTTGGTTGACGCCAGATTCCAGAGGCCACGCCCTCAGCCACTTGGTCTTGGCGGGGACGGGCGTTGTCCGCAGCGATGGTCTTTCTTTCGTTTGTTCCCCTGCTTCTTGGCCGCCCTTGGGCTGCTCTCGGTCAGGTGAGTGTCTCCAGCGGGGGGCGACCTCTCGCGTGTGCGCGCTCGATCAGCAACTTGGCAACCACGTCACCTGACCTATTCTGGTTGGATGGCAGCAGAAGGCGCGCTTTGCGTACGATCCGTCGTAAGCTGAGCGAAGCGATGCATCGGTGGTGAGTGAGGGGTGTTCGCTGGGACGCCCTCAGATGATAGAAGTCGCGCGTCGCGTGCAACCCCTTTGGTTGAGCGGGACGAGCCGTGAGAGGGTGGTAAGATGGACTCGCCAGCGGGGGCCCAGGAGTGCAATTCGCCCTGGCTCGACCGAATTGTCGTTCTCTTCTGGTCCCACGGCGCCCAGGAGTCCGCCGCGGGGCCGCGATAGCCCCGCTGGGCGTCGCCGCGAGCGGGCGACGGGGGGACCCGCGCCCGAATCGCCCGGGCGGAAACGCCTCCTCCTCCTCCTCCTCCTCCTCCTCCTCCTGCAGAGGGGTCTTCAGGAGACGCCCCAGGCCCCCCAGGGCGGCTCGAGAAGCCGGCAGGCGCCCTCCCCCTCCGCGGTGCGGGAGGGCCCCCGCTCGAGGGGCAGCGGCCTCTTCCTCCCGCCCTGCTCTGCTGCTGGGCATGAGGAGAGAAGGGCAGGCTCGCGGGGGGCGGGGGGGAGGAAGAGGGGGAGGAGGAGGAGGAGGAGGAGGAGGAGGAGGAGGAGGAGGAGGAGGAGGAGGAGGAGGAGGAGGAGGAGGAGGAGGAGGAGGGCCCGGTGGACGCCAGGGCGGCTCTGCACGGGGCCCCCGGGAGGCGAAGCCCATGCAGTCCGTGGGAGTGCTGCGGTGCTCCGGCACTCTCCGCCTCTCCGGCTGGCTGTCAGGGGCGGCAGAGGTGCCCATGCCTCTGCCCTCGCCTCACTTTCCCCTTTTTCGGCCTCCCGGGAGGCCCTCGTCGCCGCCGCTGGATTCGCATCGGAGTCCTGGTCCGACCGCGCCCCGGGGAGGTCAGGGGAGCGGCGCTAGCGGTGCCTTTTGGCTTCCCCGTGGCGCAGCTCCAGGAAGAGTCCCACACGTTTCCAAGAAGGCCCACGAAGCACACTTTTGATCTGCGGGGCGAGAGCGAACCTCTTCTGCTAAAAGCTAGGCGGGCTACGCACAGCTTTTAATTGCCCACGAGGCACACGGGAGTGCCCGAGAGGGCCCGAGGCGCCCCCAAGACCTCCCCCACAGGGCGGCAGCCGGCCTCGGAGATGTGCCGAAGCACACGCGCCCACGCCGGCCCACGACCGTCCCGAGATGACCCTCGAAGGTCCCATGGTCGACCCCGAGGTGCTCTCCCCGGGAGAGCCCCCAAGGAGAGTCCAGGCGCGCGCCCGAGAAGGCTCCGATATGCAAGGGAGGAAGAACCACCTGGACTGGAGAATTGGCGTTTACTAAACGACCCTGGGCGTTTACGAAACAGCCCCGCCCTGCTCGATTCTTTCTATGGGTGCGTTTACTAAGCGGCTTCGCTTGTCGGGATGGTTATTATCGCGGTGGATTTTCTGCCCTCTAGATATGGCCCCAATGGGGGCTTAAGAGAGCCCCGGGACAGGACGAGCCAGCGATCTCGCGCCCCTCGAGGGCAAGGCGTTGTCCGTCCACGCGCTGACCAGTGACAGAGCACGCGCTTTGCCTGCGACCCGTCAGCTGAGCGAGGAGAGCAATCACAGACAGGGCAGGGTCGACGTTGACTCTTTGCCTTATCGTCTTTCCATTGCTGATGCATGATTTGTGCTTGCGCATTCAACCACGGATTTTGGTGTACGTCCACCTGTCGCTATGATCGCAAAATCTCAGCGCTTCGGGAAGCCTTTGCATAAAGCCTCGACGTCCAGATTTGTATTGACTCGTCCACAGTTCTCCTGAGACGGTTGGCATACTGCTCCGCAGTTTCCAACCAGCGCTTGCTGGACGCGCTGGCTTGACAACACGCGGTATAACGCCATGACGTCCCAAATCATGTGTAAGTCTCGATGTGGACGTTGCTGAATGATTCCCTCCAGTCCAGTGCCGATAAACAAGTTCCCCATTCAGAGCGCAATGGTGTCGAGTAGCTAATTGCCGCTTTGTCCTTTAGTGCGTGCGCAGTCGCACTTGCCCTGGCTGCCGCCAATGCTGCCGCCGGTTCGGCTTCCGTCAGCGCTGTCTGCCGCCGCTACCCCTGCTTTGCCGTGTTGGCCCTGGCTGCCGCCAGGGCTGTCTGCCGCGGCTGCCGTGGTTGCCGCCACAGGCATTTCCGAGCTCCTGACTGGTACCGTTGGCCGCTGGCTGGCTGCAACCACCGCTGCCGCTGTTTGCCGCCACTGGCGCCTGCAGGTCCCGCCAACCGCCCCCTCGGATTGCCCGCCGCTGGCCATCACTGGCTGGGACTCCCACGGGCTCTGGCTGCCTCCGACGCCGCTCTCCGCTAGTGTTCCGTCGATGCGCGGCTCCACGAGCCTTGGCTGCCGCCAGCGCCGGGTGCCACAGCTTGCCCCTATGAACCCCGGCCTTGCGCCACCAGCCTTGACTGCGGTGCGCGCTGGCTGGCGGCCGCCTGCCCGTGCAGTGCAGCCTCTGCGTATCCCCGCCAAGCGCCGTCTGGTGTCCACGCGTAGGTGTGACGTTGACGTGCATGCGGGGGCAACGCGACTATCCACTATACCCGTATCAAACGACGACTGCCCACGTTTCACACGGGTGGGGTTAGCGTAGTTTTGTGGAACGTGCGTCGTATTGTTCCCAACCATCCTGTGGTGTTGGGTCCTCGTTTTGAAGAGACGGTGCCCCGCGTCTCTCCTCCTCTCCTCCTCCTCCCCCTCCTCCTCCTCCTCCTCCTCCTCCTCCTCCTCCTCCTCCTCTCATCATCAGCATCATCATCATCGTCATCGTCACCGTCATCATCAGCATCATCATCATCATCGTTCTTATCACCATCGTCGTCATCATCATCGCCGTCTCCATCATGGCCACACGTTTCGTGGACCCATAGTGAGCTCCACCGAAGGCCCCAGTGGCAAGGTCCGCATGCGGTTCCACCTCCATTTCGGCGCACCCCTCACACGTTCCGTGGCCCCATAGGGAGCTCCACCGAAGGCCCAAGTGTCAGGGTCCGCATGCGGTTCCACCTCCATTTCGGCGCACCCCTCACACGTTTCGTGGCCCCATAGGGAGCTCCACCGAAGGCCCAAGTGTCAGGGTCCGCATGCGGTTCCACCTCCATTTCGGCGCACCCCTCACACGTTTCGTGGCCCCATAGGGAGCTCCACCGAAGGCCCAAGTGTCAGGGTCCGCATGCGGTTCCACCTCCATTTCGGCGCACCCCTCACACGTTTCGTGGCCCCATAGGGAGCTCCACCGAAGGCCCAAGTGTCAGGGTCCGCATGCGGTTCCACCTCCATTTCGGCGCACCCCTCACACGTTTCGTGGCCCCATAGGGAGCTCCACCGAAGGCCCCAGTGTCAGGGTCCGCATGCGGTTCCACCTCCATTTCGGCGCACCCCTCACACGTTTCGTGGCCCCATAGGGAGCTCCACCGAAGGCCCAAGTGTCAGGGTCCGCATGCGGTTCCACCTCCATTTCGGCGCACCCCTCACACGTTTCGTGGCCCCATAGGGAGCTCCACCGAAGGCCCAAGTGTCAGGGTCCGCATGCGGTTCCACCTCCATTTCGGCGCACCCCTCACACGTTTCGTGGCCCCATAGGGAGCTCCACCGAAGGCCCAAGTGTCAGGGTCCGCATGCGGTTCCACCTCCATTTCGGCGCACCCCTCACACGCTTCGTGGCCCCATAGGGAGCTCCACCTGAGGCCCCAGTGGCAGGGTCCGCATGCAGTTCCACCTCCATTTCGGCGCACCCCTCACACGTTTCGTGGCCCCATAGGGAGCTCCGCCTAAGGCCTAAGTGGCAGGGTCCGCATGCAGTTCCACTTCCATTTCGGCGCACCCCTCACACGTTTCGTGGCGTCATAGGGAGCCCCGCCTAAGGCCCAAGTGGCACGGTCCGCATGCAGTTCCACCTCCATTTCGGCACACCCCTCACACGTTTCGTGGCCCCATAGAGAGCTCCGCCTAAGGCCCAAGTGGCAGGGTCCGCATGCAGTTCCACCTCCATTTCGGCGCACCCCTCACACGTTTCGCGGCCCCATAGGGAGCTCCACCGAGGGCGCCAATGGCAGGGTCCGCATGCAGTTCCACCTCCATTTCGGCGCACCCCTCACACGTTTCGCGGCCCCACAGGGTGCTCCACCGAAGGCCCCAGTGGCAGGGTCCGCATGCAGTTCTACCTCCATTTGGCGCACCTCTCACACGCTTCGTGGCCCCATCGGGTGTTCCACCAACGACGATACTTACAACGGCGGCATTCGGAATTGCGTATGGTTGGGCCCTTCGCCAGGATAATTTTTCGGCAGCCCATGCCAGCCAGCAGCACGTTCAGGCTTAGCATGGCAGGTCTCGTTGCGTTGGTCTGCCTCATCACGTACATACTTCTATGGTACTTTCCGCACAGCGGTGCGCGCTTTTTCCTGCCGTGCGTCCGCCCCCGATTTCCAAGTGCAGCCTGTCCGAGGCTGGGATTTATCCATATCCAACGCCTGGGGGATCGATTCTCGCGGACCTCCACAGGCGGTGGATATGGATATATAGTCAGGCCCTCGGGGGCCGAAATATATCCATATCTACCGCCCGCTCGGGCACCAGGACGTCGGTTCCTAGGCGGTGGATATGGACAAATCCCTGCCTCGCACTGGTTTCCAAGTGCAGCCCGCGTCTTCCGGTTCCTCGCGTCGCCCCATGTGTGTGTGGCCTTCCCCTCGCGCCGAGCCGACGGCCGGGCGCGGGCTCGCCACCTGGGCGGGAAGGCGAGGGGGAAGGGAGGTGCGGGGGGCGATAAGGGGGCCTTCGGAGGCAGCAACAGATCGGCGGCGAGCGAGGTGGGGAAGTGTTGTGGAGGACGATCCATGGAGAGGAAGCGTGTCGCCAAACAATTTCCAGACGTCTAAAACATGTGTTAAGCATGCTTTAAGCATGTAACAACCATGTTTAAAGCAAGTTTGGAACATTTTTCCGACATTGTAAACACATCTTAAATTCAAGGATTGGACTGTTAGGGTGTCCACTGTCGTGGCATCCACAAGGGAAGTGAGGAGGGCCTGCTCAGAAGGCTCGGAAGTTCCCCAGCCTTCTGAGGAGTTTCCTGAGCCTTTCCCGAAGGCGCAAAGCAACTTCTCAGGAGGCTGGAGGCCTTCGGAGTAGCCCCACCGCCTTCCGAGAAGGCCTTCTCCTTCTCACTTCTCCCCCTCTCTCGCCGCCGAACGCAGGCGGATAGCCCAGGGGAGGGGCACTGCACGTACAGCCGGCACCAGGGTTAGGAGCCGCCCTGGCTCCGTGGGGGCGTGCGGATGTCCTCTGCGCCTCTGTGGCTCTCCACCTCGGCCTCTTCCCCTTCGGCGTCCTCTCCACGGGGCCTCTCGGCTCCTCCGCGAAGGGGGGCTCTTGCGCTGGACCCGCGCCCTCGTGGCCAGCAGCTGGGCGGCGGGAGCCCCGGGACGCCCGCAGAACGCCGCCCCCCTCTGCTCAAGCAGTGGCGAAGCGTCCCGGCGCGCCTATGGCCCCACCAAACAATGTTCTAAGAAACTTTTGTGGTTCCCACGAGATGTTCTTAGAACATTTCTGGCGGAGTCTGCCTTGTCTTAACACATCGGGTTTATGTTCTAAGAACACTGTTGTTGTTATTAGAACATTTCGGGGTTCTAAGAACACTTCGCGGTATGACTATAGGAATGCCCGGACGGTCGGTCCCTGCTCAACCTGCTTCGTCCGCCCCTGTCGCCAACGAGCCTCCGGAGGAGCGAGGGACCCGACCGCCGCAGCGCGCCCCTCCCCGCCCTCTCGCGGTCCCCCCCGCGGGCCCGCGAGGAGGGCCGCTGCAGCACGGAGCGGTGCCGCTGCGAGGACTCGTCGTGGGTGCTGCAGGAGCTGGAGGCCGCCCCGCGGGCGGGCGCCAGAGCACCGTCGACACGTGACTCGTTCAGCTCGGGCCGTTCTCTCTGGGCCTCGGCCTCGGGGGCCCGTCGTCGGGCCCCTGGACCGTCCGGCAGGATTTTTCCGTTTCTCGTCGGCGGCGAGGCAGTGGCAGTCCGCGCCAGCGCGAGGCTGATCCATCAAGCATGAGCATGGGACGAAGATCGGGCGATCGCAAACGTGGATTGAGGGGGCGTGGATCAGCGACGGGTCCCGTTTCCATGGGCAATCTGGGGCTTCCGCTGCCGAACGAGGCGGCACCGGTCGCATTCGGGGAGGGCACCTCCCTCGATCCATGGATTGGGCGACCGCGCGCCAAATCCATGGATCGCTGCTCCACGTTTGCGCGGCCCCGAGAATATGCACTCCCGGGGAAGGCATTTGTCGGGATGCAACTCCTGGGAGGTCAGATTCTGACTTTGCACTGGTCCGAAGTCCGGCTTAATCTGGCTTGCTCCCGCTTAATCCCACTTAATCCCGCCTAATCCGGCGTCATCCCGCTGAGTCCGAGGCCCACTCTGGCGTGATGGCTCTCAAATGGGGCTTACTCCTCCTTGCTCTTTGCGACGAAAACCTCCCAGTACAGTCGGGCCCTGAAGAAGGAACCCTTTTCGTTGGGGAGGGGCTCCGCGTTCCTTAAGTGTTTCGCAGCTTGCCTCAGGCTTTCCTTATGTTTCCGATCGGAAATCGAAGTTTAACTTATGGAAAAAAGGGGCCTCGTTCCTTATTTTGGGTTCCTTAGGCCAAGACCCTCACTGTAGTTGCCTCCTAACATTTGGGACCTCCTGGGGCCGCGCCCCGCAGATGCCACCGCGTCGGCTGTCTGGGCTTAGGGGGCGCTCCGGAGGGGCCCCGCCTTCGGCGCCTCCTCTCGCCCTCGGCGGAGGCCGGCGGGAGTCGAGCGGTCCATCGGGCGTATTGTCTTCGGGAGGATCGAGATGAGTACAGATAGTACAGTCGGGGCCCTGAAGAAGGAACCCTTTTCGTTGGGGAGGGGCTCCGTGTTCCTTAATTGTTTCGCAGCTTGCCTTGGATCTTCCTTACGTTTTCGATACGAAATCGAAGTTCAACCTTTGGAAAGAAAGGGGAGGGGGGGGTCACAACCCTCCCAGACGAGAAGTTTTAGACCCCCCCAGACCATCCATGAAAGGGCGGCCCTTTGTCCAGACCCCCCCGAAGCCTCCAAGACAGCTCAAATCAGACCCCCCCCCCGAATGTGACCCCCCCCACTTTGTTATAGAATCCGGAGTACAGATAGAATTAGTACAATTGCCCAACAGCAGTTCCTGTTCATTTAGAAGGGACTCGCTGTCCGCGCCGCCGCGAACGTTGTTCTTTGAAGACGAACAGCCGCCTGCCCAACAGCGGCCGCTGTCGGTTTTGGACAACCTTTTTGCATTGTACATATTTGTCCGTACCATATTGCGTGTCCAAATGTTTGTGATCATGCCCCTTCTCCGCTCGAGCTGAGCCTCGGGGTTGAGTGCCAACACGTTTTCCAGTGCGGCTGGGGGGCCGTCGGGGGCCTGGAGGGACTTTCGGGGCCTCCCTCACAGTGCCACCCTCACAGAGGAGGGGATGCTTGAGGGCGCAGATTTGGACCCTTGATGGCTTGTGTGCACGCGAGTCCCATCGCCCGTCTGCCTGCACTTCCTGGGTGCCCCGATCTGGCAGGGCGTTGGATCTCGCCGTGACGACAGTTTCGGCAGAGTTTTTTTTCGTGCTCCGCGTAGCTTCCAGCGTCAACATGGAGCACAGTGCCGTTTTTAATGCATGCTCCGCGTGCGGATCGTGTATTTAACATGCAGGGATCCAGATTTAAAAACAACGATGAGTTCATGCATACATTTATTCATACATTAGTCATGTATTAAACATCTTGTATTTACAAAAAAACCCAATGCATTAAAACTGCCCTGCCGTGGGCGTAAAAGGGAGGTTACATTGGCGGCGGCTCCGCCTGCGGAAGCTCGGCGGGAGCTCGACAGAAGTAGAGGTTTTCACGTCTTTGCGGTCAGGGTTTCCGCAATCTCACCACCCACCACACCACCCCAACCCAACCCGAAGGTCTCGATTTGCCCTCCATTTCCAGTTGGGGGGGGGTCGGGGAACTTCGAGAAAACACATATGGAACCCGTACCCCCCCCAACCCGAAATTCGGGTCTTCGGGTTGGGTTGGGGTGGTCTGGTAGGTAGTCAGTGACCGCCCCCGAACCTCGTCATTCTCGCAGCAGCCGGGGACGGCCCCACGGTAGTCCCAGAACCGCGCAAGACAGCCAAGGACGGCTCTCACACTGGTCAAGACTGTCGTCCCAGGGGGCCCCACGCTGGCTTCAGAAGGCACCAGGAAGCTCCATACGCAACCACAAGCCAGAAGCCCACAGCGACGGCCCCAAGGTGCCCCCGAAGGGCCCACAAAGGGTCCCAAGACGGTCTAACGAGTGCCAGATTTGGCGTGGGGACGAGCTCTGGGCAGTGTCATGAACAAGATTGTCTTCAAATACAAGAAGTACAGTCGGGGTGCTGAAGAAGGAACCCTTTTCGTTGGGGAGAGGCTCCGTGTTCCTGGATTGTTTCACAGCTTGCCTTAGGTCTTCCTTAGGTTTTCGATGGGAAATTGAACTTTAACTGATGGGAAAAAGGGGCCTCGTTCCTTATTTAGGGTTCCTTAGGTCAACGTCCCGACTGTAGACACAACGATACAAACATCGGAAAGAGCGCGTTCTGTGGACGCTGGGAGCGGGGGGGGGTCGAACGGGGGGGGCCCCCTTCGGAATTGCAAGGGGGGGGGGTCGAGTCGTTCCCTCCCCCAAGGGTGGGGCTTGCCCTCAAAGTGAAGGGGGGGGGCCTTCCCCCTTAAGGTGACGGGGGGGCCTTCCTCTCAAGGGGAAGGGGGCGTCTGAACCAGGGCTGGGGGGCCTGAGTAGCAAAGGGATCGGGTGTGGACAGAACTCCTAACAGTGACACGTCGATTAGGGAATTGTCCGTTTTCGGTTCTCGAGAGGGCGCCGTGGCCGTTATTTTCCAAGCTTGCGCCCGCCAGGTTTGGGCCTCAGGTCGTTTTCACTAAACCATGTTTTACTAAAAGGGGGTCTGTCCATCCCGGAAGGGAGGTTGGGTTCGAACCGGGGGTGCCCCCCCCCAACAGTGGCAACCGGCGACCTCGAGCGCCTGCGCCAGCGCTGTCGGACAGCGACGACCGCAACGACGACGACGACGACGACATCGTTCATCAAACCATAAAGTGTGATTTATATGTTTGCAACGAGCTGGACCAAGTCCACGCGCGCGCGGCGTCGCCCGCGCGTGCAGGATTGGTCAAACGCATTCGGTTCCGGCCAGTTTTCAAGATCGAGATCCCCGAACGTATACATTTATATATGAAGATTTGGTTTCGCACAGTGATCGTTGAAAGCACAAGCAAAAGCCTGCGCGCGCAATCTTGCGAATTCTTCAGGAATCCATTGAGTTCTCAATTTGTCGCCAACTGCGCCAGGACGGGCCTCTCGCGCGCGTGTTGAAGTCGCCCGAGCGCTCTGACGCGCGTGTTGGGGCGTGCGCGGGGGGGGGGGGCGAGGGGGTGTGGGGGGGGCGCTGTCCCCGTCGAGCAATGCCATGCGGGCCGCTCGCGCCCGTCGGCCGCGCGTGCATGTCGAAATCCTCCCGATACCTTCATCGCCGACGCGTGGGCGCGATCCTCGTCGTTGGCGTGGTCAGCATCGGTGCCGTCATTGGCCTTGCCATTATCGTCGCGGTCATCGTCATCGGCGTCGCGATCGGCGTCGTCGTATCCGCCGTCGTAGATGTCGCCAGGGTGCTGCGCCCGCCCGAGTCGCCGGCTCGTGCTGAAGTGCCCGCGCGCGAGCGCGGCCTGTCAGGCGCGCTGGGACGTCTCCAGCGGTCAGCGCCGCCGCGGCCGCGTCGTTCGCGCCAGTCTAGTTGGCCGCTGTGCGCGCGAGCCTGCGCGCGTTAGCGCGGCCGCAGCTCGGCGCCAGCCGGCGACGAGCGACGAGCAGTCGTCGCAATCGCCGCCGCGGAGGTTTCGCAGACCGGGTGGAAGGTGGGTGGGCGGCATCATTGCGCGAGCAGAGGAGTGGGCAACCTCGTGTTCGGCGGGGCGAATTGCGCAATTGCGCCGCGTAGATTGCGCCGCGTAGATTGCGCCGCGTGGATTGCACAACGGCGAGCGCACAGGATGGATTCCTCTCCGCCCGCCCCCGCGGGTTCATCCGGCCCGCCTCGCGCGTTGCATTTTGCGTTCGTCTCTGCCCCGCCGTCCACTCTGACTGCGGACTCACGCCGCCCCGGCCCGGCCCCTCGTCGCGCCCCCCCTTTCCCGTCTCCGACGAAAGATGTGACTTCAAAACCCTCAGTTTCTGGCGGATGTGAAAGAATTGGCGTCTCCGAAATATATGTCGAACCGTCTGCTTTGCAGGGGGTTTCGCAGATAAGTCTGCGCGCGCTCCTGCGACTTTCATCCCACGGCCGTGTTCGTTCTTTTCGCGCGCGGGCCTTTCGCGCGCGCGCGTCGGAATCATTCGGGCGCCTTTTCGCGCTTGCATCGGCGCTGCCATATGCCCTGCCGTCGTCGTCGCCATCGCCGTCGGCAGCGTCGCACTTATCATCGCCATCTCTGCCGTTGTCGTCGTCGTCGCCAGAATGCCGCGCCCGCCCATGTCGCCGACTTGCGCTGACGTGCCCGCGCGTCAGCGCGGCCTGCGAGGCGCGGGGGGGCCCCGCGCGGTCGGCGGCCGCCGCGGCCGCGTCGTTCGCGCCGGACTAGCCGGCCATTTTGCGCGCGAGCCTGCGCGCGTCAGCGCGGCCGCAGCGATCGACCCCCCTCAGCAATTGACCGCTGAGATTACGCGCTCGCGCTCATCGGTCAACAACCATCAGTTTCCAACCACCCCTTGCGAAATCCATCAAGCCATGCGGCAACTTGCACGCGCGCGCGGCGTCGGGTGCGCGTGCCAGACTTTTCCATGCACTTCAATCCTGCCCGGGTCGTCCGGATTTCAAGATCGAGGTTCCCGAAACCGTTGGTGTAGCAAACAGATCGGTCTTGGACATTTTTTCTAAAATAAGAAACAACTAAACACATTTTCTGTAAATCTGCAAGTGTCTTACGCTCAATTGCAAGCGCGCGCGCTCTTGCGAATCCGTGCGGAAACCATTGGATCCAGTTTGTATTTATTACCAAGTGTGGCCAAACATGGTTCTCTCCCGCGCGCGTGTCAATCGTCCGCGCGCCCTTGCGCGCTTGCTGGAAGGGGCGGGCCACTCGCGCCATTCGGCCGCGCGCGCGTGTCGAAATCCGCCCAAGATCTTCGTCGCCGACATGTGAGCGCCATCGTCGTCGTCGGCGTGATCGGCTTCGGCGCCGTCGTTGGTTTTGCCGTTGTCGTCGTTGTCGTCTTCGTGGTCGCCAGCGTTGATGTTGCCATCGTCGCGTCTGCCGTTGTCGGCGTCGCCGTGATGCCGCGCCCGCCCGAGCCACCGACTCGCGCTGATATTCCCGCGCTTCAGCTCGGCCTGCGAGGCGCGTGAGGTTTTTCCCCGCGGTCGGCGCCGCCGCCGCGGCGGCGTCGGCTGCGCCGGACTAGCTGGCCACTCCGCGCGCGAGCCTGCGCGCGGCGCGGCCGCAGCAGGGCGCCAGCCAGCGCCGAACGGCCATCGCAATCGCCGCGCAGGGTTTTGCAAACCAAGTTGCTTGTTGGCGGGTGGAGCGCTGCGCTAGCGGCGACGTTGACAAGTGCAAATTCGGCAGGGTGAGTTGCGCTGGGTAGACTGCGCCGCGCGTGTTGCGCCGCGGGGATTCCACGACGTATGTGGCGCAATGAAGGGTGCGCCGCGAATATAGCCCAATATAAATGGCATGGCGTGTATTTGGCCAGGCGGGTTGCGCCAAGTCATCGACGCCATCTATCTTGCACAACGTGCACTGCGCCGCGTGTGTTGCGCAGCATGTGCTGTTAGAAACAACGCCCTCTGGGGCGAGATGCGTAAAATGTAAGCACGAGGCCTTTTTTTGCGCGCGTGTTGGAATCATTCGGGCGCCTTTGCGCGCTTGCTGGGGGGGGGGGGGGGGGCGGCCGCTGTCGAGTTGCGTCATGCGGATCGCTCGCGCCCCTCGGCTGCGCGCGCGCTCGCGCCCCTCGGCTGCGCGCGCGCGCGCGGATCGCTCGCGCTCCTCGGCTGCCGTCGGCCGTGTCGTCGTCGTCGTCATCGTCGTCGGCGACATCTCACTTTTCATTGCCGTTTCTGCCGGTGTCGTCGTCGCCAGAATGCCGCGCCCGCCCAATTCGCCGACTCGTACTGAAGTGCCTGCGCGTCGGCACGGCTTGCGAGACGCGCGGGGGAGTCCCCGGCGGTCGGCGCCACCACGGCCGCGTCGTTCGCGCCGGACTAGCTGGCCATTCTGCGCGCGAGCCTGCGCGCGTCGGCGCGGCCGCAGCGATCGATCCCCTTCAGCACTGACTATTCAGATTATTCGCTTGCACTCATTGGTCAACAATCAGCAATTTGTAGCCATCCTTTGCAGGAGACGTAGAACCATGTGCCAACTTGCTGACGCGCGCGGCGTCGGGCAAACACTTCAATCATTTGAACGCACGTATAGACATATATTGAGATGCGAATTCGTGCGAGCACCATTGGTTTCTGTTTGTATGTTTCACCAGATGTGATCACATGGGTCCTTCCCGCGCGCATGTCGCAATCGTCCGCGCGCCTTTGCGCGCTTGCTGGGAGGGGCGGCCCACTCGCGCCATTCGGCCGCTCGCGCATGTCGAAATCCCCCCAAGACCTTCGTCACCGACATGTGGGCACCATCGTCGTCATCGGCATGATCAGCATCGGCGCCGTCCTTGGCCTTGTCGTCGTCGTCGTCGTCGTCGTCACCGTGGTCACCAGCATAGATACTATCATCGTCGTGTGTGCCGTTGTCGGCGTCGCCATGATACCACGCCCGCCCGAGCCACCGACTCGCACTGAAGTTCCTGCGCGTCAGCTCGGCTTGCGAGACGCGCTAGGCACTTCCCAGCGGTCAGCGCCACCGCGGTGGCGGCGTCGGTTGCGACAGAGTAGCTGGCCAATCTGCGCGCGAGCTTGCGCGCTATGCGAGGCGCCAGTCAGCGCCAAACAACCATCGCAATCGCCGCCACAGGGGTTTAGCAAACCAAGTTGCTTGTTGGCGGGTGGGATGTTGCGCTAACAGTGACGTAGCTAAGGACAAGCTCGGCAGGGTTCGTTGCACCAGGTCGACTGCGCCATGCGTGTTGCGCCACATGAGTTCCGCAACGTATATGGCGCAGCGTAGACTTTACCCATATATTGCCCAACGTATATGGCATGACGCATATTTGACCAGAATGGTTGCACCACATCATAGACGTCATCTATATTACACAACGTACATTGCACCATGTGCATAGCACAACATCAGCTGTTAGAAACAACGCCCTGTGGGACGCGATACGTAAATCGAAATGAAGCACATGCCCCGCAGGGCGCATTTATATGCTTTCCCTCCAGCATTTTTTTTTGGGGGGGGGTCGCACGGATCCATTTGTATTAAGTCTCGCGCAGCGCATTTGTTTTGCCGCCCCGCGTGGCAGAGTGTACAACAACGGCGGTTTCGCAAAGATACTTGGGTTTTTCTGGTAGCTTCGCAGGGCTGGCAGAACGATGGGGGCAACAATCGGGCCTCTTCTTTCGCGGCGAGTGTGTGGGCGCCCAGCTCCCTGTCCACATGGCGCACCTTGGGTGCAAGGCCCCGCTCCCACGGTCGCTTCCCGAGGAGGGACTTCCCGCAGTGCGCCGCATGCACCTTTGGGGTGTTCCTGGAGCCTTCAATCCCCCCCTTTCCTCCCTCTGTTCTTCGCTTCCCGTGCGTTTCTTTCGGTGCGATCGAGATGAAGGTGGAAGGAACGGGGATGAAAACCAATAGGAATTCTTTTCGGATTTGAGCAGGTCTCGCTGTCGGCGTCGCCGGGTACGCTGTGTCCATCTAGGGCAGACGTCGCCTGCACCGAATTTGGCCGGTTCCTTTTTGAGTAGCATTGTGCTCTTGGGCATCGGCCCCATGTTTTCCATCCCCAGCTCGGGCGTGCCAACTCCCCCTTCCCCGTGCCTTCCTCCCCTCCTGCCGCCAGAGCATGTCCACATCCTCCGGTTCGGAACCGTGCCTTAGGACCTCGAGGGGGGGGTGGATATGGACATGTTCTGGCGGCGCGCACTCCCCCCTCGCCAGGCCTCCATGTGTTGTTGCCCTCTCTGGCCTCGTGAGCTCCCTGCGCCCCCGCAGACCTTCGGGAGCCTCCAGCGCTGCTACAAGTGCACTCAGAGGGCGCAGCTCTGCCCTACGGCCGCGGACGAATGTTCTTCGACGCCCTCTTGCGAGGAGAGCTCTTCGCTTCAAGAGCGGGAGGGGTGTGTGGGAGGGGCTGGGGGACGGGGTGGGGGCGAGGGGGGAACTGATGATAATGATGGATGACGAGTAGTGTTATGAATGAGGTGTTGATGATGGTGATGGTGATGGCGAAGATGATGGCGATTATCGAAGACGCCTACGGCGAATCACCGCCGCCCCCTGCCCCTTTGGAAGCGCCTCTGTGGCCGACAGCTGGGCCAGAGCTTGGCCAAGCTATCGGGCCAGTTGTTCCCCGAATTGGTTTGGAAAGACTTCGGGGAACGCATGGGGGAGCAAGAAGAGGAGAAGGGGAAGAAGGAGGAGAAAAGAGGAGGAGGAGGAGGAGGAGGAGGAGGAGGCGGAGGAGGAGGAGGAGGAGGAGGAGGAGGAGGAGGAGGAGGAGGAGGAGGAGGAGGAGGGAGGAGGAGGAGGAGGAGGAGTAGGCCTCTTGGGCGCCTCTTGGGACACTCTTGGGGCCTCCTGGGAGCTTCCGGGGGGCCTCTTGAAGGGTTTTTGGAGGCCTTTGGGGGCTTCTTGGGGGCCTCTTTGGCCGTCTTAGGGCGTTCCTGGCTTGTCTGACGCTGTCGGAAGCAGTCTTGGGGGCCTGTCTGGCTCGTCTTGGGGCCCTCTTGGGGCACGTCAGGGGTTCTTAGAGGCCATCTTGGGCGGCTTGGAGGCCTCTTGGGCCGTTTTGGGGCCCTCTTGGGGCCGTCTTGGGGAACTTTTGGGCTGTCATGGGGCCATCTTGGAGGCCTCTTGGGCCGTCTTGGGGGCTTAATGCGCTGTCTTGAGCCGTCGGAATGCCGAAAAGAAGCAAATGCCAAAATCCTTCAACAACCTATGACAAATCAATGATTTCGGCCTCGTCGTGCCCTCCTGGAAGACCTCCTGGACGCCTTTTGGGCCGTCTTGAAGGCCTCTTGGGGGCCTCTTTGGCCGTCTTGGGCCATCTTGAGGCCATCGCAGGCCGTCTTGGGTGCATCTTGGGCCGTCTTGGAGGCATCTTGAGGCCATCTTGGCCGTCTTGGGTGCCATTTTGGCCTTGTTGGAGGCCCCTTGGGCCCTCTTGAGGCCGTCTTGGGGGCATCTTGGGCCGTCATGGGGCCATCTTGGAGGCCTCATGGGTGATATTGGGGGCCTCTTGGGCCGTCTGGAGCCGTCGGAAGGCCCAAAAGAAGCAAATGCCAAAATCCTTCAACAACGCATGGGAAATCAACGATTTTGGCGTCTTCGGGTCCTCCTGGAGGACCTCTTGGAGGCCTCTTGGGCTGTCTTGGAGGCCTCTTGGGGGCCTTTTGGGCCGTCGTATACCATCTGGAGGCCATCTCAGGCCGTCTTGGGTGCATCTTGGGCCCGGTTGGAGGCATTTTGGGGCCATCTTGGGCGTCTTAGAGGCCTCTTGGGCCGTCTTGGTGCCCTCTTGGGGCCGTCTTGGGGGCCTCTTGGGCCGTCTTGAGCTGTCGAAAGGCCGAAAAGAAGCAAATGCCAGAATCCTTCAACAACCCATGGAAAATCAATGAATTTGGCCTCTTCGGGCCCTCCTGGAAAACCTCTTGGAGGCCTCTTGGGCCGTCTTGGAGGCTTCTTGGGCGAACTTGGAGGGAGGTATCTTGGACCCTCTTGGGCCGTCTGGGAGGCCATCATGGACCATTTTGGGCGAACTTGAGATCATCTTGGCCGTCTTGGAGGCATCTTGGAGGCCATCTTAGGCCAGCAGGGCGGTTTTGGAAACCATCTTGAGCCGTCTTAAGATAGTTTTTGGGAGAATTCCGGGCCTTTCGGGTGGGCGGCGGGACGGGCCGAAGCCCCAGGGGGAGTTCTTTTGGAAAAGAACCAAAACCAAAACCGAAATAATCTAGCACGCTGGGCACCCCTGTGGCAAGCCAAAAGGGGGCGGTGGATCGAAGACGCGTACGGCGAATCACCGCCGCCCCCAGCCTTTTTGGAAGCGCCTATGTGGCCGAACGTTGAGGCCAGACTTGCCAAGCTATCGGACCATGTGTTCCCCGAGTCGGTTTGGAAAGCCTTCGGGGAACACGTGGGCATCTTGAAGGTCATCCTGGCCGTCTGGAGGCCATTTTGACCCTTTCGGGCCTTCTTGGAGGACGTCTTGGAGGGCTCATGGGCCGTCTTGGAGGCCATCTTGAGCGTCTGGGAGACCTCTTGGGCCGTCTTGAGGGCCCCTGGGGCCGTGTCTTGGGCCTCTTGGGCGATCTTTGGGGGCATTTGGGCCGTCTCGGGCCGTCGGAAGGCATACAAAAAGCAAATGCCACAATCCTTCAAAACCCATGGGAAATTCACGAGTTTGGCCTTTTCGGGCCTTCCTGGAGGCCCTCTTGGAGGCCTCTTGGGCCGTCTTGGGCCATCTTAGGGCCATGTTCGGCCGTCTTGGTGGGCTCCTGGTCCGTCTGACGCCGTCGGAAGCCGTTTGGGGGGCCTCTATGGGCCGACTTGGGGCCCTCTTGGAATGCTCCAGGGCCGTCTTGGAGGCCATCTTGGGCGTCTTAAATGCCTCCTGTGCCGTCTTGGGCGCCTCTTGGGGCTGTCTTGAGGCCCTCTTGGGCCGTTCTGGGGCCATCTTGGAGGCCTCTTGGGCGATCTTGCGGCGATCCTTGGGGGCTCTTGGGCCGTCTCGGGCCGTCGGAAGGCCGAAAAGAAGCAAATGGACAATACATGTTTTTGGCCTATTCTGGTCTTCCTGGAGGCCCTCTTGGGGGCGTCTTGGGCCAGCTTCGAGCCAACTTCGGCCATCTTGGTGGGTTCCTGGCACGTCTGACGCCGTCGGGAGCCGTCTTGGAGGCCTTTCTGGGCCGACTTGGGGCCCTCTTGGGGCGCTGTCTTGGAGGCCATCTTGGGCGTCTGGGGGGCCATCTTGGGCGTGTTGGAGGCCTCTTGGGCCAGCTTGGGGCTCTCTTGGGGCCGGCTTCGAGGCCACTTGGGCCATCATGGGGCCCTCTTGGGGGCCTCTTGGGGCGATCTTGGGAGCCTCTTGGGCCGTCTTGGGCCGTCGGAAAGCCGAAAAGTCGCAATTGCCAAAATCCTCCAACAAAAACCTAAAGAACATGATTTTGGCCCTGTCGGGCCTTCCTGGAGGACGTCTTGGAGGGCTCTTGGGCCGTCTTGGAGGCCTCTTGCGGGCCTTCTGGGCCGTCGTAGACCATCTTGGGCCGTGTTGTGTGCATCTTGGAGCCATCTTAGACGTCTTTGAGACCATCTTGGCTGTCTTGCAGGCATCTTGGAGGCCATCCTGGGCCGTCTTGGCCGTCTTGGAGACCATCTTGGGCCAACTTGGGGCAACAAAGGCAGTGACGGACGGATTTTTGGGAATCTCCCGGGACCCCGGCGGGACTGGCCGAAGCCCCAGGGGGAGTTCTTGTGGAAAAAGAACCAAAACCAAAAGCCATATCGTCCGGCACGCCAGGCACCCCTCTGATAAATCAAAAGGGGGCGGCGGATCGAATGTCCTTTGGCCCATCGACCACCGTACCTGGGTTGTGTGTATGACACCTATTGGATGTTCGTTGTGATCTCGGAGGCAGTTCTGAGGCCTCTTGCGCGCCCTTTGGGGGCCTCTTGGGGGCCTCTTGGGGGCCTCTTGGGACCCCCTGGGCTCCTCTGGCGGCCTCCTGGGTGCCTCTTGGGGCGGAAGGCTCGTATTTTCGGCTCGTGTTCCTTCTCTTGGGTTCCTTTTGGGACCGTCTTGGGGCTCTCTTGGGCCGTCTTGGGCGCCTCTTGGGCCCTCTTGGGCGCCTCTTTGGCTGTCTTGGGGCCCTCTTGACTGCCTCTTGGACCCCTTGGGCCGTCTTGGGGCGATCTTGGGGGCCTCATGGGCCGTCTCGGTGCGTCGGGAAGCCGAAAAGACGAGACAGCCCGAAACTTTTAAACACGTAAGGAACATTGTTGACGCTTGCCCTCGGGGCTCTCTTGGGAGGCCTCCTGGAGGCCTTCTTGGGGTGTCTATAGGATGCCTTTTGGGCCGTCTGGGGGCCACCTTGAGAGTCTCGGAGCGATCGTTCGGCGACCCGGGACCCTCTTAGATGATCTAGACCAAGTCTGATTTGCACGTCGAATCATCCACACAAACACGCGGAATGCGCGTAGATCTAAGTCGGGCCTGTCCCCCTACAGGAGTATTTTTTGAGCATTTTTTTTGTTGTTTTTATTATTTTTTTCGTCGAAGCTCCACCTGTAGGGGGATGCCCGACATAACCGTAGATCTACAAACTTTCTGCTCGCGTTCCCTGGACCGTCCTCGGGGCCTGGGGGCCCTCCTGGATCGTCGTTGGGCCCTCCTGGGCTCGAGGAATCCGCGCGGGGAGACGCGGGGGAGCCCGGGGGGGCTCGCACCAAGCCTCAAGTCGGGCTTGTCCCTCTACAGGAGGAATATCCAAACATAGTTAAAACATAGTATGGGGACTATTATCTGAGCATTTTTTGACTTTATTTTTTCCCCTTTCTCTCTTTAAGCATAGTTTTTTGTTTATTGGTTGATTAAGTTTTTTTTTTTTTTTTTTTTTTTTTTTTTTTTTTTTTTTTTTTTTTTTTTTTTTTTTATATATATATATATATAGATTTTTTTTTTTTTTTTTTTTTTTTTTTTTTTTTTTTTGTTTCTCTCTCTCTCTATATATATATATGAATATGTATTGCCGAAAATCCCCCTCTAGGGGGACACGCCCGACTTGAGCCAAGCCCCAAGAGATGATTTCGGATGTTGGGTTCCAGGGCCGTGAAGGACTCCTGATGCTCCAAGGATTCGGCGAAGGACCTGAGGACACGCCCACTCCGTGCCCAGAGGCACGGTGGCGGATGATGATGGTGGTGGCGATGATGGTAATTCAGACTCATATTCTTTCTATCGCCACCGTGACACACGCACACGCGCACACGCGCACACCCTCACTCACACTCCAGCACACCAACACAATCGCATCGACACCCACACCCACACCCGCACCACAGCAACACCCGCACACCCACCCCACACCCACACACCCACGCACACGCATACGAATACACTTCCGTGCGCAAACGCACGCGCACACGCACACACTAGGGCGCAAGAGCAACTGCTTGCAATTTCGTTTTTTTTGAGGGTGCAGGCAGGCCACATCGCACGAACACGCATCGTTCCCTTGAGCGAGAGTCGGTCCGAGGCGACACGGGCGACGCAGCCCGTTTTCTCTCGAGGCGCTCGGGCTCCCCGAGCGCCTTTCGGCAAACGGGAGTGCCCCCCGAGTTTCTCTACTTCTTAGAGGCGGGGACGCATCCATATTACCAGCCTGGAACATATCCCCATCCCTATGCTGGGCACCTCCTCATCACGATGCCAGTCTTAGGGACTCCCTCATTTTTTGAGGGCGGATCCCTAAGATTGTCATCGCCTTTTGGCGTGTCAATCTTAGGGATAGGGATACGTTCGAGGCTGGTAATCTACTTCTCAGAGGCGGGGACTCATCCATAGCCACCGCCTGGGTCGATCCACGGAGACACCGCATGGGCCTCGGCTGGCGGTGGATGTGGACATGTCTAGTTCCGAGAAAAAGCCCCGCCTCGCGCTGTCGTCACTTTTTGGTCGGCGGGGCGAGAGCGAACCTCTTCCGCTAAAACTAGGCGGGCTACGCACAGCTGTAATTAGGGAGACGGGGCACAGGCAGGCGGGGCCTCAGGCGGCCGGAGTGGGCGAGGCCCGGGGTGCAGGCGGTGCCGAAGAGCTTGCACAGGAAAAGATACGCCGCGGACAGGGGCCGGAGGCGAAGATCCAGAGGGTAATGCGCACTGTCGTCACAGTCAGAGGCGTAGGACTTCGGCCGCGGGAGGCGGCGGGATGCGGGGATGCGGGGGCGAGGAGGGGGGAGGGGACAGGGAGGGAGCGAGAGGGGGAGCCCAGGGCGAGGGGGCGGGGGGAGCGCGAGGGAGAGAGCAGGGAGGGTGGTGGGGAGGCGAGCAGGATGGAGGGGAGGGGGCCGACAAGGTCGGGGGAGCGAGAGCAGGGGGAGGAGGAGGAGGGAGAGGAGGCGAGGGCACAGGGCGGGGAGCAAAACAAAAACGCTGGACCCAGTGCGCCGACCCAGCCCAAGTACGGGTGTTGGTCAGCCCTCTGGCCGACCACGAGTTCCCGTGCTACCGGTGCGAGCTGCCTCCAGGCGCCGGTCGGCCGGTCGGCCGCGTCCCTGTCGGGAGGTCTTACTTGTGTTCTTGCTTGCTGTGTTTCTCCCCGCCCGACAGGTCGGGCCGCTAGATTTTCAGAGCAGGCTTCCCGATCCGCCGACCCTGCGTAACGCGGCCGCCAGATCCCCAGATCCACCGAGAGTCCCCCGCGGGTCCCGACCCTCCAGGCCCGACCTGCTCACTCTGCATAGCGCGGCCGCCAGATCTCCAGGTTCACGGAGAGTCCCCGAGACTCCCGCTTCTGTTAGCACGACAGGACCTAATAGATGGCGCAGAACATGACAGGAAAGATGCTGGCATCCTATCACAGCATACCACCGCATACACAGCGCAGACATATCATACCATAATGGCACGCCGTACCGCAAACGAACAGCGCAGACATAGCATAGCCATTAATCATAACTCGGCAGAGCAGAGCATCACGAGCATCACATACCACATACTCGCATAACACGTCACACCATAGCATAACACCGCACGCTATGGCACAGCGGTTCACACACCATAGCATGCCATCACACATCGTACCACAACAGTGCATACCGCAACATCACAAGCCATAGCATACCATTACATAACATGCCATACCACAACACATCGACACATAGCTCATCATACCATCAAATGGCAGCCCGTAACATGGCATAGCGTGATATATTATGTACCATGATCGCACAACATAGCATACCATGTCATACCATGTCATACCATACCACATCATTGCCTACCATATCAAGACATATCACATCATCCAGCACACCATAACTTAGCACATTATTGTATGACATATCGGAGCATCATAGAGTGTATCATAACAGTTTGAGACAGAACATGCCATAATCGTTGTACTACTGCTACTACGGTGGCAACGATTGTAATCGAGCGCCGTAGACTGTTACATAGTGAAGAGGAATCTCACTACACGTGACCGCCATTGTATACCATAGTTGTTGTATTACGACTGCTACCACTACGGCAATGGAGCTGATACAGCATCATCGGCAATATCCTTTTTTTATAGACATGTCATAACCTGAGCATAGCGTGACACAAAGTACTAAATATACTATGGCGTACACCGTACACAAGAACATCTCATACTAAATAAGCACACGGTAACATGACAATATATTTTATGAGTGATCTGATCATGACACAGACGTCTAGTGAATCATCACTGAAGAGGAACATCATAATACAGTCGACCGCACCTTAGCATGATCAATCGCAACGTGCGCGCCTAGGTCAGGCTGGCCACAGGAACACACAGGAACAACGAGGCGCATCAACGACAGATTAGACGACGTCGCTAACGTGACATTGGTCACGGCGTCGCGCTGGCCCGTCGAGAACACAACAGAGCATAAGACCGTATTACATATTAGAACCTGAGGGAACATACCGTATTTGAGTAGTGTTAAACACCGTAGCGACCGATTAATTGCGCCCTGCCAAACGCAGCAGCCACGCCGATGCAATGCTGGCCAGATGACACAAACAGGCGCAGCACCGACTGATTAGACGACATATCAAGCATGACCGGCGCCACGACGTCACGCCGCCACGTCGAGACCAGAACAAGCAGGAAGTGCATAGAACCGAACATAATGGAACATGACGTCACAAAGTATACTACAGCAGAGACCGAGTAATGCCGCCCTATGATACGCGACATGCGCTCCGAGACCACCAGGCGTCACGACGTCACAAAGCCAGTCTAGAACTGAACGCACCAGAACATAATGTCATGTAGATACTGGGGCTACGAAGTTCCGACTGGTCTCGAAGTGCTCGGAGATTCTTGAGATTCTTGAGGATCTGGAAAAGACCTTTGCTTCCGATGATGCATGTATTATCAGAACTATGTCTGGTTGGGCCAGTTTTAGCTTCGCTCCTGCTCTGCTTGCGACATTCAGAAGTGTTCGTGGTACTTTGTCCTGCTCGCCCTCGGGAATACCTGTCGAGGGCAAGAGCTTCCAGGCAGCTGTCTACCGCTTGATTGCTGCATCGCCTGAATTTGCTCATGATGCGAAGCAGGATTTGATGATCAGGATGAGGAGGTGGTTGAATGAGGTTCCCGAGGATGCCGCGACACAAGTTTCGAAAGCTGTGAAGTTTGTTGTCAAGAAGACTGGGCCCTACATGGGCCTGACGTTTCTCCGTGTGCTTGCTCGAGGTTTGAACAAGTCGGCCAGATTTCACACCCAGTCGCATGGTTGCCTGTTTGGATGCTGTTCTGATTCCTTCGACCCTACCCTCTCTGACCTTGATGATATTGCCCATTATGCGAGATGCTCCCGATTCTATTGGATTTGTGAACATTGGCTCGGAGAACTGTGATGCCCCCCTTCTCGGAATCCCCTCCTTGGCTGTCTGCTCTGCTTCCCACGTCTCCGCGACCTCGCACGGTGCTACTCATATCGGCTGCTATAATTGACGCGTTTATGTTTGCTCACAACTGTCGCCGTCACCTTGTCTCTTCTGGCAGTGTGTCTCAGCAGATACATGCCCGCATGCGGGCCACGGCGCGCAGGCATAGGCCTGTTGCTGAAGCCTGGCGTGTTGAGAGACGGGTGCGTTTGCTTTTCGAGGCCCCCCCTGGAGCCTAGTCTGAGCATCTCTCAGTGTCTGGGGTGGGGCCCTGGACTCGTCTCTGCTGATGATGTGGGCGTTCGCTAGTGCCTTCTTCTTTCCAGAGGCCTGGTGCGACTCCCGCGCCTGGGCTCCGACAGAGGGCGTGGGGGGGGGCCCCGCGTGGGGGAACGCGGCTGTCTCGTGCCCTGCCTGCCGTTCGGCAGGCAGACGCTCCTCACGGACAGTGGGCCCCCCCTCGCCACGATATCCGTGGACTGCTCGACCAAGGTGTCGACCGCCTTCAACTGGGACCCCCTGGAGCCTCCTGAGCCATTTGGGTCCAAAAAAAAAGAGTATATAACACAATATCATAAAGCAGCCATCCATTCACGGTTTTTCACCATACGAACATCGCAACACAATCGGCCGCACCTTGATTTAATCAATGCGTTGCGCGTTGAGGTCAGGCTGGCCACAGGAACACATAGGCGCAGCAACGACCGATTGAACGACGTATTCAACGTGACAGGCGTCACGACGTCACGCCGACCCGTCAGGGCAAACATTCTAACATAATACAGTCTCACACACTGGAACATGGTTACTACGCTCAAAAACAGCAGCAACATCTAGATGGCGCCCTGTCAAACGCAGCAGCCACGCTGACGGCAGACTGACCACAAAACAAAAACGGGCGCAGAAGTGACCGAGTCGACGTCACGCTGCCCCGTCGACAGCAGAACCGAGCAAACCATATTGCCATATAGCAGAACAGAACTGAACAGAGCGTGGTAGAGCAGCATGCAGTAGCGATCAGATAATGGCGTTTAATCAAACGCGAGATGTGCGCCGAGCTCAAGCTGGCCACAGTTATAGACAGTACCAGACTTGGGAACAAACGCCGAAGGTTTGGTGGGACTCTTAACAGGGAGCTGAGTCACCCTACCGCGCTGTTTCTGCCCGCTGGGGATCTGATCCTGGCCGGCATCTGCCCCTGGGTCCAGTTGGCTCTTTCGATCTCTGTCGGCATGTTCTGCCGTTCGATGGTGTGCGCATGCATGTTGCCTTCGTGCACCTTCGGCGCAGGGGGCTGTATTCCGAGGCCGGAATTTCTACATGGCCACCGCCTGGAGGATCAATTTTCGCAGAACTCGGCAGGCGGTGGATGTGCGCATATTCGGCTCCCCCGGGGCCAATGAATACATATATATATATAATTGTTTGTTGTTGTTTTGTTTGTTTTTGCACCGAGGATATCCGCAGGATGTCTCGAGGAATGCTGTAATTATCGAAAACTGTCGTAACATTCAGCGCCCTCGCGCTGGTTTAGAACGACTGGGGAAAGACAGACGCATCCACTGTACACTGTTGCGCCTAGCTGCTACTCTCCCCACCATCTTGCCGTCTCGAACGGCCGGGGCCTTAGAGAGGATCTGAGTGTGTCCTGCACGCCTAGCCTTGGCGCACTCGGCTTTGTCTGCCTCGTCAAGTGCGACCACCGCTGCGGCGTTCAACGGCTCGACCGTCGATGCCAACAGTGCGTCGCGGCACTTAGTCCTCCGCTTGTCGCACAAGTGTCGCAAAAGCATCCACCTGCACGAAAATTGAGTATTGCATGCGCGGCACCTTCCATCGCCGAACGCATATGCACGCATCGGGCTCCGCATCTGGTGCTTGATGCGTTCGTGCTGCTCTTTGGCTTTCTCGCTGCAGAACGTCGCCTCACACTGCGAACACATATACAACTGGACAACGGGCTCACAGGACGCAACATAATCAAGCACAGAGTCTGTGAAAAACAGTGCATCGACCGCCGGCTCCCACTTCGGGGAGGCAATCGCCCTGCACCAACACTGCCAGTCCTTGACAGGGTCGTTCATATCCGCCGCCCGCTGTGGCACCAGGACATCGGTTCACAGGCGGTGCATATGGATAAATCCCCGCCTTGTATTTATCACCTTGATCTCCGCGAGAACAGGCTTGGTATCGCTCGGACGTGCGCAGTCTTTCTCGGCGGGGATTATGACGGAGCATCCTGGATCATCCTGCGAAAAAAAAACCACGCACGAAACCGAAAGAAAAAAAAACGGGGAATGGACGTCCGAGAGATGGCCAGCAGGGCATGCGCGAGTTCCGGGTCCGAGCAGGAGCGAGTGTGCGGGCACTCTGCCCGCGCTCGTGCTTCGACCTAAATTTGGCGACGCACGTCCGGCACCTTCCGCGCGCCGCCCCTTTCGGTTCATCCTCTGGACGGCGCGATCGACCCCGTAGCACTTTTCGGCATTGCCATCATTCTCTTCTTCATTGTTTTGCCGAGCGGCGCGGTCCTTCGCCCCCCCCCTCCCCCCTCCCCCGTGGAGTAGATCTCGGCTGCTTTTGGCGCCATTTTCACGCAGGT